CTTAGTAGCCCAGTACAACCAATCAGGATGATGTGGAATATCACTGGATCATTAGATCATGTATAGGTAGAATGTTTTTTATTCGGTTTACATAAAGCGAAGACCTGCAATATGGAACGGATGTGCCTTGTCGTAAAATGAAGATCAATTTGCACCAACTTGATTGACGCTTTGATGGGGTCGAGGGTGTACTATAATAACATTTCAGAACTATTTCTATTAATATAGTTTATTAAAACGCTATCCATATTGATCTGGTCAATATTGAGTTCAATCAGTAAGTTGTTCTAATTTCAATAAATTATAGAAGTGATGAAAACACCTTGCTAATATTTTCAGAGTATGTGACAAAAATGCTGAATGAAAACTGATTTTGTTACTTCCTCAATTTGGTCATTTCAATAACTTCTTCTGTCCATACACAACTATTCGTGATCTCGAATAAAGTCTAATATAGAGCTTTATGGTATATTTTTACGATAATTCCAGCTGCTTATCTTATAGCTCCAGCACAACTGAATTCGAAACTAGCAGTTGGACGAGTAAGTTTATTACTAGAAAGTATACACCAGATTAGAAGCCGACTTTATCATCGTAATTTTGATGATGCGATAAATTTCTAACTAAACAAATGGAGCGCGGACAGCATATATATATTGAATGGATGATGTTTATAAAACTTCATCCATATATACTTTTCAATCACTTCTCTAGGCTTGTGTTTTACTAGAAACTCTTTGACAGAGAAGAATACAAATGGGCGTGTTGTACTGTGGATACGAATCTGCCATTAGATCGTGGCTAAAATTCTACGCGTCTTGAAAAATCAAACATCTCGGCTAAGGTTTAACTGTGCTGAGTGACAGATTTTCTACAGCGTTGTTGTATAGGTGCATGACTGTAAGACTCTAAGCTGTTGTTTATCGTCTGACGAATGCATCCGTAAACATCACGTCTTTCTTTATGATCAATATATACAACGAACGGCATGCAAGCTTCAAAAAACCTCTCCTCATATGTTTCATAGAAACGGTTCAAAGCGATATACGCAATGAATTGCACTGCGATAGTTCTAATGGCCACATTTTTAGGTTATGGTTTTTGTACACAATGCTCAGCTCCTGCGCAAGTCCAAGAAATTGACTGGGCGAAGTTGAATAGCAGTATTTGGTATGAAACTTTGAACGCAAGAATAGCTGCAGATATTTCGACACCCTGTCTTATTCTCAGCGATTTTAAGAAGACGACAAACGGATTTGATATGAGGGTAGACAATACATTAGACTCTTCTCGCGCTCCAATGGGTCACTGGCAGCGCGTTGAAGACGGTGGATTCGTCCCACTGAATGTTAACGAGTATATTCAATACTTAAGCAAAGTTGCTGCCAGGAGTAAGGAAACTGTTAAAGTCATCAAAAATTCAGCAACAAAAATTCGTGAGCTACAAAGCCGTTTTCCGTTCACAGATTACGAAACTTATCTGATCGTATTGATTTGTGATGGAGAAGAGAAAATTATTTGGGCAGGAGCTCCACATCGCCACCCTACTGCTAACGACATCGTTGAAGCTCGGAATAAAATTATAGATATCGGAAATGGGTGGAATGATGTGAAACTTTATCTTTCTGATTGTTAAGTTAAAGAACGATTGTTCGTCCAATTTGATTTCAAGTACTATTAGTCCGACAGAATAGGGCCTTAACATTGTTTTGGGACATAAAGTTTTTTTTATTGTTCAGATATAATGTATATGACATATATAATGATACCCAGGTGGGTGTGGAGTATATAATGTTAGGCAATTTTTTTTAAGTGGATTTAAAGTATTCGGTCCAAGATGACGCACATACTAAACCCCAACCTGGTAAACATACAATGTTCAGGTTGTGCGCCATCTTGGTACGAATACTTCAGGAGCGCCTTTTTGTTAAAAACAATTATTTCATAACTACATGCTTTAGTTTTGCATACATGGTAACATTGAATCTCCTTACAATGTCAGAAATTCAATTTTAGTACAATAAATGGTAGTTTATCTCACAAGCCAAGATCCATCGACAGCATCTGGCCACTTTCTATTGCGCTCTTCAAACTACATTTGCGTTGCCGCGCGCACTTCTTTTACCTAGTTTAAGCTTAGGGACTTGGGAAATATTTTATTAGTTGAATTGGATTGGAATATTTGACCTCGTCTTTCACTCCGAACAAGGCCATGTAAAACCGTCCACTGGTATCTAAAGATGTGTAACGTGTTTTCTTTTGGAAGAACCGCAACCTTTCAGTGCTGCATTGACTTTGGCAAAATTAATATACAGTATCCTTGTGGAGATAGAAGGTATGCGTATGCGAAACCGAGATGTGCACCTGTTATGCCAACATAGTTGAGTCAAACGTTTTGAATACTAATACATCACACGCATTTTCCTGCGTGCTTCGGTTGTACGTAGTAACGCGCACATTTTTGCGCACATGCATCAAATTCCACTTGATTATTGAGCTATAGGTTCTTGACGAGCTTTTGTGTATGATTTAATTCCTTATAGAATTTGTATGCTGTTCTAAAGAATACTAGTTTCAGCTTTTTCATTCTCTTAAACCGCGTGTTGAAAGTGAGTTTTGTAATATTGCGTGTTGGTTTCCAACATCCTTAAATCGGTGATGCCAGTAAATCTTTAATACAAAAAGATCAGTACATCTGCAATAAAACAGCAGTACCCACTCAAATGACAGCTGGGGGATTGATACTCTTAGTATCTGCTCCATCGCATGCCTCTTACAGTCTTACCAGTTTACATGCGTGTCAATCGGTATCTAAGCTCAGCCAGAGACAAAAAGTTTCGGACTGCAGTTGGCGTGACGAAATGTTTTTAAATATATATTCAACAATAAGATTATTTGATTGCATACTACTGAAAGTTCCGCCTTATATGTCTTTTCCCATTGCACTATTCCTTTACTGATATTCGATAATATGACGCTCATCTGACATAGTTCTTAAAGTGTGTAGATGGGTATAATCTTTTCCACGCTGTTCAGATGGGAATGCGCGAATATATATAAGAATTGCTAATATTGGTTAGCAATGCGATGAAATCCCATCTTGGCATTTCTGCCTCTCGCAATCGCTGTGTATACTTATCGGGGAAGTTCTGCGGCGTGGTTATCAAATGAAAAAAAAAACATGGGAGTATTTTTTCTACTTCTCTACTACCATCAAACCTTGACATTTTGTGAAAACTTTTTTCCATGCAACCTTTTTTAAAACATCCCTAACAACCACAATTAATTCTGTTATTAAACTTCCGAAACAAACACACAAAATCATCAACAGATGCATATCACCAAGTATTGCGATATTGCTGAATTGATCTTTATTTTACCATTTTTCATGTAATTCTTTTTGGTAAACCTGTTATCTATCATAAATACAGCACATTTGACAATGCTGTAGTGTGACTATTTTGGCCTCACATTTTTGATATTTGTTTGAGCTCTTGGGGCTCTGTCAAACAAGGTACATACAAAATATTGGTTGTAAATTGCAAAACATGATCATGTTGTTGGAATATCTTGGCATTTTACCACCCGTATATCATTCATTGTTGAGAATATTAATAAAATCATAAAATTTAAAAATCCGTTTTCGTGAAATTTTTGTTGTAGCTGAATTCCAGGGACAGCATGACAACAGGCAAGAGAAGCACGGTCGCCTCTTTCATCCTTGGAGGCCGCCGATCGGTTATCTGGGAGCACGAACAAACAGATGGAAATGCAAATATATATTATATAATTACAATGTATTTTTATAGAAGAGAAGAAGCAAAAGTGTTGAAAGTCTTTGGTAGTTTGAAAAGCATTGGCATGGAACATAAGAATGAACTACATTCTTTCTCAGGGATATACTATAAAAATGTAGCAATTTTCTCATTCTTTGTCCCGTGATATCATTATTTTCACTGGCGTCGTCGTGATCATCCCGCTGCATAACAATTCTCCGCTAACAAATAATTGTTCTCCACCGGGCGTATATCCACTTGAACCACTGGCGACTGCATTAGCAGACTTGTATTGTTAATTGCAACCAAAACGGGTATTTTGAAATAGTACTCTTTATTTTACGCGTATGTTTCGACAGTATTTCCATATACTGTATATGGGTCGCGACCCAAAGCTGGGCTCAACAAACACCTAAAATTATTTGATTTTATTTCCTAGTAATTTGGTGCTTGCATAGTTTGTGCACCAAGATTGCGCACAACCTGAACATGGTACTGTAACAGGTTATGGTTCATGTTGTGCGTCATTATGATGCACATGTTTGACGAAAAACACTATACAAATATCTCAATAAATACCTAAAAGTTATTGATTTTATTTCCTAGTAAATTTGGTGCTTGCGTAGTTTGTGCACCAAGATTGCGCACAACCTAAACATATTATTGTAACAGGTTATGGTTCAGGTTGTGCGTCATTATGATGCACAGGTTTGACGAAAAACACTAATACAAATATCGAGCCGTAAAAAAATTGCTCAAGGCTGCAAACTCCACACCCATGTAGAAATGATGGGCAATGACCCCAGGATGAATAATCACTAATAAAAAAAAACTTTATGTCTGAAATCAAACTTGGGCCAAAAATGTCCCCTTATCTGCCGGACTATATACTGTACAAGTCAAACACTATGTCCACAAACATTTATTTCTAATTGCATATCTTGAATATATGCAAATTTGAGTTCTATATAAGAAAAATCATTTCGCATTGATTTTATAATTTATGAACCATAGATAAATTACATAATATTCTATACATAAAAATGTGAATAATCTATTATTTTCATGTTTTCGTTTGCTGGATTCAAAGGCAGTCGTTAATACAACCGCAACGATTGGTAGCAATGTTCTGAAATTTCTGTCAAGACATGTGGCTCAAGGGTCTGCGTTTCAATTCCCCAGATTGCCTTATAATTCCACTCACATGCTAAAACAGTCTTGGCGTGGCCTACAAGAATTGTTTTAATTTAAGTATGTATTTCAAAATCACTGATATATCACATAATTTCAATTCAAAAGATGATAAGAATGCACTTAGAAAAATTATTAGAATTAAAACTAAATATAGAAGCTGAAAATGTTGAGAATAATATACACAGTTAAGTGGGAAATTCGATGATGATAAACCGCCCCGATGATAAACAAGATATATCAGCAGTGGGTCGATTCATAAAATAACTAAAACGCTTGTCCGCATGGATTACTGGCGAATTTTGGGAACAAGCAGAAACTCGACCGATTAGTCGAGATTGTGATTCTTCTTAAGTTTATTATTTGTTGAATGTAAAAACGATATTGGGATCAAATGCTTGTTTTAAGAGTGTTTGGTACAACTACCATTATCTGTCTTATGTCAAGATTATATTGAATATTACATTTTTAGGTTAATATGTCATATGCAAATAATTCCCGCTAAATGAGTTAACGAGTAAGTGTGTTTATTCTAGAATTTTATGATATAGGTATAAAAACTTTTCTGTTTAGGCTTCTCCGAATATTCCAACTAAAGCGTTTAAATGTATTGTTAAGATAATTTGGATATTTTTATTTATAAGTTTAAATTGATTGATTTTTCGAAGAATATCGAAACCCAAAAATTATTTGTTGCACATAATTTAGAATAGTACGATGCTTTAAAATAAGGTCATTGTTTCTATGTACTCATCATTAAGTTATTATAAAAGGCAATGAATAATCTTAAAACATCGTTTTATTTTTATTTTAACACTTTCCCAGTATGTTAACACTTTTATCTCTAAATTTATCCTATCTAAAGCTCAGTAACATAGTGGTTATCATTTGCAAAGTCATCATTTCCAGGGCTGAAAGCAATATTCTCGTACACATTTTCAGTTTTTCCCTTCGAATCTAAAGATGATAGTGATTTTTCATCGGGTGGATCACCGGCTTCAAGACGGGCTTTTCTCCGATGCTCCTCCATCATTTCCTCTTCAAATTCATCTTCATCAACTGGAACGTAACTAGGAATATAAAAGTTCGAATTTAATATAAAACTGATGTGTCCAAGTTTTATCTTTGCGTTATAGTATTGAATATTCAATAAGAATATTTCAAATTAATGGCTGCGCCAAAAAAATTGATAACTCCCCTGTGTCGTGGAAAGATGGGAACTGAATTATCCAAGGCCATACCTAAATAAGTAGGAAGAAGCACATCTATTAGGTACGTCCTGAGGGTACGTAAGATGGTTGCGTTACATAAGCACATGCGATAGAACAACAACGAAAATAATTTCACGTCTCCAGTAAAGCATTGACTGCAATTGATCGGTACAGTACGAAAGTTTTATTAACGTTATACTGAAGTCAAGTTATTAATACTCACAAATAAGCCAATATGATGAACACAATCATGGCTACAAAAATAAGTCCCGCAAAAAGTAAAAATTCGCCAACTTGGGATTCTATTCCTTGTACTCCGGTAATAATAAGAACGATAATGTTCCCAAATGATACAGTCAGCAACCAAATACTCGTTACAACAGATTTCATGCTGGGTGGTGCCTATAATACAAATATGTTGACGTAGGAAAAACTTGAACGGTAAAAATGTTAACTTGTCATTATAATTGCAATATTTCGTTATAGCTAGCTTAGCTTTGTTCAGCTACAAGTCTACAACGCAAATTATATAGAGCTCGTGCTATGGATTTGTGGGACTGTTAATCAAATCATTTATTTTGAATAGATTCAAATCTTTCTATACTAATATGTATACAATGATTTTCTAAACTCCCACGATGCGATTCATACCTGAGTATACGAGAATTCCAGTCCAGTAACAGAAAGAAATACTTCACCAACTGTTATAATGAAAAACTGTGGAAATATCCAGGCGACGCTGAGGGAACTTGGATTCAAATCTAATCTCTAAAAGACAACATAAATGAGATCCCTTTATAGTTAGCTAACAAACTTTATTAGTTCTTCAATTTAAGTTGCTATTCCGTACAGTATGTTTATATATTTTTATATAAGTCTATACGTAAATTGTGATATATAAGAAATTCAGACCAATGCTCAAATATATGGAAATAAATATTGGTAATGTTGGCCTCGTATGACTTTGAAGTATAGTTTTTTAACGTTTTCCTCCGTCTTTAAGTATTGAATAGTTGAAATCGAACAATCCAATAGTTGTAGAGAAAGCAATTTTCTCATACCAATAAACACAACTCTAATAAGGACAACAACAACAATTTTGTAATTGGTGTCCAATATTAGGAAAACACATATTTACCGTATAATAAGAAGTGTCGTTTAACACAATAGTATAAACAGCTCCAACTTCGACATCGATCGAACCGCTAAAAAGGCTATTTTTATCTGAATCTTGCACTTCAAAGTTCGTACTGTAAAATCACTTGATTTTTGAATACATTGAATCGACTCAGGAGCATGGATCAGGGAATGCCGATTGCTGTTCGCAATGGCAAATTACAAAATAAAACTGCTAGCATATTTCCCTATAGTTTGCATAAAATAAAATTTCAATGAAGCTGCCTCAAAAATCATGCCTATTTGCCTAGGGACCATTCGAATAATACATAGGAATGTATATGCATCTATATTCCTATTTTTTTTCTTTAAAAACATTCGAAGTTTTACAGCATATTATCGTTTCATGTAATGGTAGCATGAAAAATATTTCGCTGCAGGAGAGCTTCTTTGGCAGAATACCAATTGTATAATTACCAGGATTATCTATTAGCATGAAATCTTTAGTCAATAAGAGCAATAGTATATGGTTAAATCAATCTATTTACAACCAAGAAGCGATACAATTCGATAATAATGATAAATAAATATTCTTTCAGTTTTTCTTATTCCTCGTACTATATCGCGCTAAACATGCCTTGATGTTTAATTTCCCAATGAAAACAGTCATTTTTCAGTTAGGATAACCTTTGGTAAAAAAGTTCAATAAAGAGAAGAATGTTATATCTTACTTTCCAATATCCACTAAAATTTCCTCTGATTTTTCTCCTCCCTCCATGTGAACTACTTTGGGATCTCCATCAGTAATATGAACCGTTAGATTTTGACCAATCCGGGCATTTACAAACGAAAATTTACCGCCACCATCTTCAGATTTGTCAATTATCATTTCTTCCTAAATGTAAGAACGTAGCCTTGTTAAAAGCTTTTTATTTCAAGCATTTTTCCTTTACGTATTAGCATTTCCGCAAAATGGCGTAAACATACTTGTCTCAATTGATGACATAATGCATGAACAATATGGTGGAACTGAACATAAGTATATTCCATTTATTTTATATAGGTCAATTCACATGTTATAACATAACACAAGAGCACTTAAATATATTTACATGGCGGCGACAATAAACTATCACAATATCAGCAAAATTCCCGCCAAACGTTTATTGAATTGCGACGAATGTCTGGTGCAGGTGTACCTACGAACTAAACATAAACTAACATCAACATTTGAAGAAAAATATCGTTTACTGGTAGAAAATAAAAGTATCGGCCTTTCGCCGGCTTCTCCCATTTTTAAGCGTTTAAAATTCGAAATCCAATATTCTAGTAGTTGCGCAGAATGACACTACAGCACCGAGCTCCAATTTGTGTCCAATAAATGAAGAGCAATTCAGTATTGGAAAATGAAATAAGAACTCGTCGAATATTCCTTTAGAGCTCTCTGGAGGTGTTAGTCGTGTACAAGTACGACTTTTCTCGAACATGTAATGTTATATTACTACGAGTCTACTTTGTATCGTAGTAGCGAATAAAGTAGAAAAGTCTTTGTTTTTGCAGTAATATCTAAATGTGATATCCATGTATAGACAACAATTCTGGATAGAACAATGTTACAATGGTACTTTAACATAATAACATCGGATGTGTTCTCATCTATATTATAAAACAGAATCTTACGGAGGTAACGTAATCGTCTTCATCTGCATCTCCGCGAAATAATACATCATACACGGTTTCTGCAGTAGGTTTTATATTTTTTGTTTTCTCGTTTCCCGTACAAGATTCATACGTCAATGTTATCTCAGGAAATTGATTTACATTAATGAATTGGAAATTCTGCGAATCACTGATCTGCAATAGTAATTTGTCAGTTATGCATATTTGAATGACAGATAATATAGAAAAACACTCATGTTTGTTCGGTTCGTAAAGAATGACAGTTTGATCAAGCAGTGTATTCCTTTTTGTCACGATCCAAAATTAGGAAGGACATTTCTTATTTGAAGTATATTTTCCCCACTGGCCTAAATCCAAACATAAGACCACATTGCATTTTATTTGGATCTTTGCAAATTCTTTTTTTTTTCTATTGTAAATCACGAAAAACTTTACAACAAAAGAACTATTGGCACCATTCAAATATAAAATTTCTTTTATATACTATATGGCACTAGAAATATAGATTGTATTAATTTGAACATAAATGAATGCGGTATTCAATTGAATTCTACTCATATTATCTATAGTGTGACAAAGAGGCGAAAACGGAGAATTCATGATATAACATTAAACTTACATTGCCACTATTAACATTAAAAGTAAGTTTCGAGTCATTTGTTCCAATTTGCAGGTCGCAATTAGCTTCATTTAATATGCGAATAGCATATTCTCCCCGCCCTGGCAACGGCGTAATTCGTTTCTGAAAAATGAAGAATAATCGTGAAAAAAAAGAAGAAATTTGAAAACGTGCAAATGTAGATTTGGATGGATTACAAGACTGACAACCCATTACGTTTTCTATACCTTTAATGCCCTTACATATGACGTAAGCCAATGATTCCTACCTTACCGTATATTCATATTAAGACAAATAATTAGGAATAAAAATCCACTTTTAACGATAGAAATGCATTTTCTTCAAATAAAATTACTCGATTGAACTGGGATAATCAATCATATTTCTGATCAATGAACAAAGCGTGATATCTAAACCACTTTTGTTTCTCGTTACCTCAATTTCAATTTGCAGTATAGCGGCAAGAATAAAAGAAACTCCAGCAAGAAATAATCCGAGTGTCATTCTCTTCAGAGGAGTGAAGTCGAGTTTTAAATATCTTAGGAAAGGATACAAAGTAACTTCGAATAAAGGAATCAACGTCACGATGAAGATTGGGTTGAGGGTTTCAATTTGATCTGGCTTTAGATGTATGTTACCCTGCAGGAGAGAAAGCAGTGTTGTTGAAGTATTAAGTTATGGAAGTCTGACTAATACTGCTTGAAACAGTTCTTCATACATCCTTGTGTAGCATACTTCTCTTATAACGAAACTTTCCATAAATATATACCACGGCAAAACGTAGAATTATATTAGCACATAGTCATTTAATGCAAATATGTTGATGAAAACAAAAAGAATTCTTGTATTCAAATTAGAAGTTTCAAGACATAAAAAGTAAAGGTGACTTAAAAATAGTAAAACAAAATTCTGAAATTTGACTATTTCTCAGTGAAAAATTGGCAAAAGTTATAGACATAATATGGTTTTTTTGTGCGTTCATCGAATATGTTTGTGATATATTTATCAATTACCAAATGCCCGTCTAATTCAATGCACTGGAGTGTCCAACGTGAACCTTGTTGGTCGAATAACGCCCAGAAAAACGGAAGAGGAATGAAGAGAATGAAAACTCGAAGAACGTATTTTGTGTCTCTGATCATTTTCTCCTGAAATTATAAGTTTTTGTTTTAACTCTGTTATCTTAAATGAAAACACACACCACTGAACCATTGTAAACATTTGATATAGATTGAGGTAAAAACTTATTTAATTGTATTGAAGCGTTCACTCACGTCTGCCTTTGCATTATCAAGCCAGTGTTCCTTGGTCCTTTCTTTTTTCGGAGTTTTGTACCAGTGTTTTATACCTGATCCAATGCAATGACAAAATCTCCAGAATACGCTTCCTTCTGGTGGATTTTTTGTGTACCATTTCGAACCGGCAACGAAGAGAACTGAGAGAAACAACAAACAAAGTGAAAAACGCAAACAGATTAGGAGATAAATTAGCTCGAAAACTGAAAATAGCAATAGGTGAATATTGAAGAAGCTATTGAGAGTGTGATTATAATTATATATATCTATTAGGGATGGGCCGAGATTCGGATCCAGACTCGGATTCGAGTCGAATCCACGCATTTTTTGGACTCGAATTCGATTTCAAGTCCACGTCATTTTTACCGTGTTTTTACTAATTTACGCCTATGTTTGTACTTTTCTCTCTATAAATCTCAGTACATATCCTAACTCAGGGGTGGGCGAACTACGGCCCGTTGGGTTATTCAATCTGACCATCCTGATGCTGCCACAATCAAACTAAAACCAAATTTAGATGCTTCAGCTAAAAAAATAGCTCAAGGAATTTGTTGAGATCGTGATAAAAATTAGTTTTGGCACGAGGCTTATGGTTTCCACTTTTGTTTTTGTAACACTTTAAATATTGTGCATAAAATGTGAATTTTTACGTCACATTTACATGGCCCGCCAGCCTAGATGGGCGAAATTTTGGCCCCTGGTCAAAAAACCTTGCCCACCCATGCCCTAACTGATTAAAACGCATTTTAAAAAATATTAATCGCTTATAACAATGATGTCGCCGCCAGTCGCATTCGAAAACTATATATCCTTTTCGGTATACACGTGAACAGTTAGCGCAATATTTTCGAGTCTTCGATTCGCGTGTAATTGAAACATGCTCTGAATCAAACCATGAGGGATTCTATAATACCTCTTCTAAATCGAGTTTATAACGTGCAATCTTTTCCCAAAAAAGGGAGCAATGGAAAGCATTGAGAATGTCTACATGTACTACTAAATTGCAAGCAGATGTACCACATCTACCATTTGCGCACGAGTCATAGTAGGAAGTACATGGAATTATGTATAAGCCTTGTAGTCAAAAGCTTTGTAAGAATTTCACAATAGCGACCTAGAATTAACGGTAGGTGGTGGGCTGGGAATGCAGTTCACAATCAAGGTTCACATTGACACACGTTTACGTTTGTATTATGATCGCCAAAAAAAAAGGAAAAATTTATTTTTGAAATGATTCAACAGCTACCTGTGGAACCATTAGGCAAAAAATACGAACTACGACGTATGTTTGTGAGCGCACGTGGCTGTAGCATGGTTTTCTATTTTTTCATGATGACGTCACGGACTCGGCAGATTCGATTCGAGTCCTTGGCCTATGGTCCTTTCCCCGAGCATCGACTTCCTTGTTTACTTGGTGACATTGGTCAATCAGCAAGATACAAAGAGTGACGTAACAGTGCTCCCATTTCGCATCCGCTCAGACACTTTTCTCCCTCAGACAGATTTTCATGCGTGGTCGTAAACATTACCTCGTTTTCACGTTTTTGAACTCTATTCGTTAGTTTTCAGACGTGTTTCGGAAACTTAAATAGAAATCAAATAATTCGATGATCACTTTGTCTTCCTAGGAGTTTTAATTTAATTTGCCGTAATAAAAAATTAGTGTAGAAATAGCTGTGATAGACTAGGCTAAAATTCTTTACCGGTACTTTCAAAAAACAGATTGTTGTATGCGATGAATCATAATGATGGTTTGAAACACATACCCTATTTTACAGGCGCCAACTCGCAAAAGCACTCTAAAAATAGCCCCGAAAGTTTTGCAATGGTAAAGTATAGGAAGAATATTCCAGGGGTCAAAGGTCGGGAAAAGGTCCATTACTCGGATTCGTCGAATCTCTGTAATGCCGGACTCGTCCCATCCCTAATATCTATTTGTGTTACTTACTGAGGGCGACACACATGAGTGCTGCTGGAACTCCAAAGGCAAGTGCGTAGCATTCGTCGAATATTGGATCTGTCTGATTGGGATAACAATCAACATCAGCCCTTAGTATAGGAGTCACAAATGTCGATATCAAACTTCCAGCGTTGATTGCGAAGTAAAACAGCGAGAAAAACTGTTTTCGCACGACGGTCTGCAGCGAGAGAAAAAAATTTAGATTTCTTTCGATTCATTAAAAATAATTGTACTTTTTAAATGTTGTGAAGATATGAACACAATATTCAAAAAATTATATATTGTCTAAAAGCATGTATAAACTACTATTAAGTTTTGTCATAAATGAAATGAAATACACAACATTAATAAGCACTATTCTATCCAATTAAAGAGTCCAGATGTACACTAACACAAATGTATTTCTGTAACGTTTCGTACGAACAGAGTCAGACTTCCTCAGATAAGCAGTTTACAACAATCAATTGGATAGAATAGTCATGTTTATTCCAGCTACAATATACTTACAGTATACGCATACGGATCCACTAGCATAAAGGCATAGAGAAAAGATAGGAAGTTAGTCTCGCGCAACCCAACTCAAATTAATAAGCACATTCATTTCACGATTTATAGGAATTTAAAACATTTTCATGAATTACAACCACAATTCATTTGGTAACACCAATACAAACATGTAGTGACACGAGGTACGATTGTTCATTGTGATGTGTGATAAATATACGACACAAAGGACATGGGTCTCTGTGTTACACAATGTTTGAAAATGTAAAATTCAAAGAAAATTAAACCTTATAACTTCTTTTTTAATTGAAAATTTATATTTTTCAGTTCAAAAACAACAACACAAATATCTCACGAACACTATAAATTGTTTCCAAAACTGAGATCTAACTGAAATACAACGATTTAGTTTATAGAAGAAACAATGGAAGAAACTGACTTAACGCAATTGGTCTCAAATCTAATTTTTCTGATGGTCACAGACTGGAATAATTTAACAATCACCTGTTCTGGTTTGAATTGGTCACCACCGAAGGACGATACACACGGTTTTATCCCACCAGTTCCACATGCAATGAAGAATAATCCAAGCATGGATAGTACACTAGAGTAAAATTATTTAATTTTTTTTAACTGAATTAAAAATAATATAAATGTAAGATATACTTTTTTTATGAAGTATGTAACAAATATTTTTTAGAATGTGTATATTAGAACAGTCGAAGCAAAATAAGGTTAAAAACGTGAATATCTGAATGCATGGAAATTCTTATATAAATTGCTTACACATGGGCGGTCGCAGAAGGAATAAATGGTATGGATCCAATTGTTTTAATGATGTGACCAAATATGTAGACAATGGACAGAAGTATAATCGTCTGAAAAAAAAAAAATTTGTATAAGTGAACATGAAATTAGAAAATGAAAATCAAATTAAAATTTCACTTACTTTATACTTTCCCCAGTACGAATCAGCAATGATAGCCCCAATAACCGGAGTAAAGTATGCAAGTACCGTGAATGCGTGATAAACAGCAGTTGCCGTATCGTCGTCAAATTTCAAATAATTTCTCAAGTACAGAAGTAAAACAGCTTGAAAATAAATTGGGAAAATGTATGCTTTTAAAATATAAATTATAATATCTTGTCTAGCAATTATAAAAGGAATAAAACTATGTGAAATTTGTGTAAATTTAAGGTTTATCAACCACACGTTAACCCTCTGAGGGCAATTGATTCAAAAAGATGGCATTGTTCCTACGTGGGCTGCTGACTGCCCGGGCTAACAAGTAATCAGATAAAAAAGAATACGATTGATGATTATTACGCCTGGTAATATTATGCTAATAACACAAAATGTCCAAAATAATTGTCTTTAGTCAGTAAACTCTTATATTGACCAGTTTATTATAGTTAGGCGAAAATGTGTAACTTACATCTCATTCCATAATATGAAAATCTTTCACAAAATTCCATTCCAACAATGAATAAAACATGTTTCGGGTAACGACGCCACTGTTCCTAAATGTTAAAAAGAAATATGTAGATCCAGTAACAGAGGATTTTTTATATTTCACGTTAGCACATACACGTGATTCGAATCTGCATCTTTCAACACGAGTTTTCACCGCTTATAATTGAGTCGTTAAAACTTCCTATACAAGAGTTCACTTGAGGGTGAGGGCTCTTCTTTTATGGGATGAACATGAGACCTGATATCAAAAATTATTTACGTCAATGCATTTCCCATGCGATATCCTTGTTTAAAATAAGATTTTATATTTCGAATAATTGGAATAAATATAGATACCCCACAGGATAATTTTTCTTCTTCGTCTGCATAATGATAAACGTCAATGTCAGAGTTCGAGCTCGTTGCTGTAAAACAGAGAAAACAAGTTGAAAATTTTGAAAAACCATCTTTTGGCTTAATACGCAAACGATCTATCTTTCATCAATGTAAAACACTGTGAATTGAAAGTGAAAAAATAATTAATATCTACTTTGAAATGGGTAATTAGAATCTATTATTACTCAAAACACTGACGCTAGCAGAATCTTTGTCTAGTAGACGACATGTTTATCATTCGTTGATTTACGTATATTATGCGTGTGCAGACTCGTTTTGCGAGGACGGCATAATAATTGTCCGGCAGCGAACAACGTATTTAACACCCGATTATAGGTATTTGAATTTCCACGAAGTTCGTTGATTTACGTACTGTTTGCTCTATATATCGTCGAGAGAAAAAACGATTATGGTTCGGATATAAGATGCTACAGGATGAATATTGCAGAACAACAGTTGTTACGGACGAGATATAGTTAGTGTTGGTTATATTAAGCATTAAAACTTTAGGTAATAACGAAAAATACACACATACAAGATTAGATCTCAAACAAGCTAAAAATAATGTGCAAATATTGATTGCATTTGCGTAGTATGCATAATATCGTTTTCATATAATGATGCAATATTTAGGAGTCTGATTATTTTGATAATCTCACGAAATTTTATTTACTTACCACTCGACTTTCTACTGTCTTTCTTTTTCATTTCTTCCTCTTTGAGGTCGCCTACATCCCCCATGATGTGCAGCTTTCTATCTTTCTCTTTGTAGTATATATGCCGTTCTAATTTATATTTAAAAATATTGAATATGTAAAAAGGAGAGGACAAGAAGAAAAATTATTTTAAAAAGTAAGGCTTCACTATATATACAAATACAATATAATCCAAACACAACGTTTTGCTTTTCTAACACGAGCATACAGCTGTCAGTGGAACTCATATGTATCATGGTCGGCAGGCGATTTCTTTTCTACGAGAAGATGGCAATACTATACGCCAACTACTTTTCGCCAACTAGGCATCACACTAACGTTATACCCGATCACTTAGAATATCAGCAAATGGCGTTTTAAAAAAAACACTGTTGATCTTGTAATTGCATTCAAAGTTGTTCGCACTTGCTACATATCAAAATACATTAGAATAGTGTTTTTTTCTTTTCGGAGTTATGTTTTTTTTCTTTTGCAGAATGTAGAACAAATGATGTTTTGTTTTGACATGAAAATCAGACTAGCCAAAGTGAAACTAAATAATATGCCATCGATTCCTTATAAAGTTGACTTCAAACAGGAGACGTAAGCCTGAATGTAATTTAACTTGACAAATGCCAGACCGCTGCTACTCCTGTTATATATTTTGTAGTGTTCGTTAAACGGCGAAGTGAGTTTTAGAAAGTTCAATGAAACTTTTGGAAATAATTCACAAAAATAAAAAAAATAGTTTTGAAATTGAGCTCAGCTGTACTAAATATTATTAAAAAAAATAATTTTTCCAAGTTTTATAGTTACAGAAAAAGTCGATTTCCACCTTGATCTTCTGCCTACCACAAATTGCGGGGGGAGGGGGGGGGGGTGTTGATTCGAGAAAGACTGGACAGTCATACACACAACACCCCACTATCACACCCTAGAGAAATTTGCGTGATACTATCATATTTTTAGCGCGTAGAGACAAATGTGAACTCTACCAAAACCGATAGCAAATTATGTCCGCTGGACGCAAAATAAAACCGAGATAAATAAAAATAAGTTGTCGCGTCGGCAACCATAACGCGCCAATATCCTAGAATAAAATTTGATGTTGTGGTAGATGTAAGAAGATTTGACACCTTGCTCATCAATAGTACCGAAGATATGTTGAGAAAAATCTTTGTTGAATGGTGTTAGAAGTCACTTGACTACAAAATATTTAGACAAATGCTATAATTTAAATACAAAGAGACAAGTAATTATAGATTTCTGATTAAATATCTTTTCTTTTTTTGTCACAGATCGGGATTTGCCGAACGCGCAACTAAAATCATTTTATTTAAAGATAAGAAATAAGAATAATAGTGGGAAAATTCAAATAAATCTAATAGTGGAAACAATTTTTGCCGAAAATGAAAATGTTTTTAGAGAAAAAAATTCGATTAATTAATTCAACTCAAACCCCAGTTTACTGTTAATTTTACCAGTAATTGCGATTTGCTATTTCAAGAATTATTTAATATTATATTCAAATAATATGTCTAAAACAACGTTCCTGAAAATATACGAATAACAAATAAGAGCACTGTCGATGCCGCCGTTGGTATTTCATACGTAATTCGATATCCTCTCACATCTTTTCAATTTTTATCCAGTTGTCGAATATTTCAAGATGTCTCTAAATAACTATAAAATATATTTCGACAATTATTTAATATTTCGTTCATTTTTAAATTAAAATTAAAAGGGTAGAGTTAAAATATATGAAAAGATCTTTTTTTTTCAATATTGTATCTCTGCAAAGCCTTGTATAAATGTTGAAAAAAAAATACAATTGATTTCTATTTAAATTGAAGATGCTACGTAGAAGATGTCAAAATACCGCGAAAACGTCTGAGGCATCTAAATATCAAATGCATGCTAATGCTCCCGACGCGGACTTTTCGAACAAATGAAACTTCTATGCTATTTTTCTTTTTATGAGGAACAATGTAAATGCAGTGTACACAAGTAAAAAAAGTTTGTTGTCGTAATTTTATGTGCAGTTTAAAAAAATTGCAAATTAAAAGAACATTGCATGTAACAAATTTACTAAAATGGTAGCTGATCCCTTACTCTTGTATGTCTCAAAATCGTATTTTGGTAATGTCTTCAGGTCTCGGTGTTACCTCTTACGTATATTTTTTCCGTTTAACGCATATTTTGATGATGACCGATCTACACATTACAGCAGAATTTTAATCATTTTACGTTTCTTTTCATTTGGCCATTGAATTTTGTGGGTTTGGCGGAACAAACTTACGTCAAAAAATCGAGGTCACTGTACTTTGCAAATTGAAATAACAAGTTTTACCATTAAATATGGCCAAACTTGAAATAATCATCAATTCTATATTCTTAATATATACGTAAACCGCATGTCTCATTTGTTATTACATCACTTAAAATTGCCATTCGTCAAACATTTGAATTGGGATCAATTCCACGAACATATACCGAACAAACGTAGTTAAACTAATATTAACCTCTATTTGTGTAAATGTTCTGTTTTTTTAAAATTGTGAGATAACTACAAATGTGTTTTGGGCAAATAGTGTCGTCCATAATAAATTTAGTACACAAACTGATAATAGATAACTCAAAAAAACAAGTTAGGAAATTCGTTTTAATTTCGATGATCTTTAACACGAGATGATGATATTTGAATACAATCTCGACGGCCTTTGTAACAGTTGATATTTGCTTTGTTCTAGTTTTGGACAAAAATTGTTGGAACTTTTTCAATTATAGTAGATTTTGTTGTCTTAAACATCGAATTCATGATGTATGAATTTCATAGAATCTCCAAGTAATGTTATTCAGGGTTGTGTATTGTAATTTGATTATTCATTTGTGTATTTCAAAGTACTAAATTTAAAGTCTGTTTTCACTTTAATAAATCTATCTATTCCGGTTTCGTAGATAGAGTTGGCTTACCGTATTTGTAATTCACTTTTAACTTTATTTTGAATATTATTCAAAAAATATAATGTCAATGTTTGCCAAATTTGACATTTTGAACAACAAAGCAATCATTCTTTGAACGATTGCAATTCAGGTTTTACAAAAATATTCATATTCCTGATTCGGTTTTGATACTCCGTCTCCATCCAACTATGTACATCCGTGGTTCTCAACCTTTCTTGTGTTAGAGTCAAATCCTAAACCTTAAAGTTGTAAGCCGCATAAAAAAAAACAACTATCTAAACTTTGCACAGTGTACAGGTTAGCCTGCTTGTGATGACTGGAAACATTTAAATCAGTGTTCTGAAAGGTAGGCATTGAAACATTCTAGAGGAAAAACATTATGACATCATAATAAAATGTTGCATTCAAAACGACCTAACAGCTACTATAACATCAATCCAACTACTGCACCCTTAGTCTTTCAATTCAAGTCATTGAGTAATTTTTAATGAAATATTTTCACTGAAAATGACTCCATTTTAAACAGTAATGAGATCCGCCGGAGGAATAGTTGAGAGCCGCATGCGTTTCTACGTGCGGCGGTTGAGAATCACTGATGTATATGCTTTCCAGGACGATTGTGCTGTCTACAATTGCAGATTCTGCACTCAGTCTCCATACGTATAGACTAGTTACTGGTATGTGTAATAGATCGCGATAATTTTGCTTGTTCAAATGTTTCTATAAGAAATAACAACAATATTTCTTTTGGGACGCAAACGGTTATGGAATTAAAATTTTTAGGTGTGTATGTCACCACAAACGATACGTTAACATGACACGCTTTACCATAAATATGACATATAACTTTTAAAACTAGTCCGTCAGCTGCGGTGCACGTTACCCATTTTCTGCGCTGGGCTAACGTACAGAACAAAAACCAAACACTGTGATAATCACGACATTACATGAACGTGTACGCAAACCACTGCGAACCCGTTGAATCTCACTACTGGACGGAACCATAACCTCAATAAAACTTGGACTGTGAAAAATTAATGAAAAACATTAAACTCGTATGTTCGTACAGAAATAATTATACAAAAATCACCTGTTTGAATGATGGCAAAGTATATATTAATTGTACTTCGGGGCCAGTCAATTAGGCATAAATATATTCGCGGGAGTCAATATCATGTATTAGACTAAAACGATATTGCAAACAGTAAAGTCACTAAAGATGGTAATATGGTAATGGTATATATATGTAGCCAATTGCGGCGCATGGACGACTTATAATCTGTGATTTTTATGAAAATATATTTGTTCTTCCATTGCTTCCATTTTTTGGTATTTTAATGTGAGTAGATGTTGTATTGTTAAAACAGATAGAAATTCTAGCAAAGTTTGACTATTCTGCAAATGTTCACTTGTGCATATTTACATTACCCAGCAGCGGCGGTCGTTCGTCATTAGAACCTACTTAGCAAACATTCCGAGCTCGCGTAGACTTGCCCCGCTTGTGATCAAATCAAATAAGAATTTATATTGCATGTAACACACAGTTAGCTATTCTTTTCCGGAGTCAATATTTGATGAGCTTTGAAATTATCAAATACTAACCAATCATGCATCAAGGTAAAATGGAACGATTTAAAAGTACCACGCTCGGATCAGTAACGACGTGAATACTAGATATTTTTGTATTATAAAACGAGTTGTAATCCGATGTACGATGATCATATCTAGTTCATCGTTGATTTATCCATTATCACCTCAAATACGATGTTGAAATAGCATGTTTTCACCATATTGACTATAATGCATGCAGTATGGTTAAACTTAGTTAAAATTCAAACCATGCGAAAAATATGATAATGCATGACCCTGCGGAATTCCAACCTATGATCAAACGGCACGTTTCTCACGCGACGGTAGTCAGAATCATGAATATTACAAATATTAAACATCCAACATGAACAATGTGAGTAAATATTTTGACATTTAGAAGTGAGATGAAACAGCGTAATATTTGTTGCTTACGTGTTTTACTGATGGAGTAAATCCCCTCGCGGTTATTTTTTAAAAAGGCCATTGAAAATTCAAAACAAAATTTCATGATCGAAAGCGACACACAAACAAATGCAGTAAAAACGGTAGAAGCGATCACTTTTCCTCACGTTAAAAGAAGTTGCAAAAAACCCTACTCTAGGAAATTTTCCACCAAAATTTTTCTTATTCGGAAATGTTTTGATTTCCTGCCAACGGAACTTGATTTTCTTAAAAACCACGTAGAAATTAATATTTGCTAAAGGATATTCTTCTGTTCAATTATGAATTGGTTACCACTATTTTTTTTTAGCTGTAAAAGTTTCATACTCATGAATGCGTGCCTAGGAACAATGATATATCACTTGAAACAAATTCTCTAAATATTTGATTTCACTCGCATTCGTTTACTTTTTTCATCATAGGACGAACGAATTACATCACATTGATAAACAGTCTCTCAAATTTGGTTCTAAATTTGAACGAAGCTTGTTTAGTTCTGGAAACGATCTTCCAATATTTGTAATAAAAACGTTTATAATATACGCTAGGAAGGCTCCATTGAGAAAATTCGTGACAGGGAAAATAACAGCCGTAAAATATCAGTTCGATATGTATTTAATTCGTCAAACAATGTCAAAATTATTGTACATTGACAAAACAGCTATTGATTTTTGATAAAAACAATCTTTTTGAAATATTTAAGAACGAAAAAAAACGAAACATTTATAACACTAGTCTATTTTTATTCAAAAAATGCATTACGAAAGCCCATAAATATTCCGGTTTTTATATCTAGATAAAACTTGTTTTCACACTTTTACGTAATCATTATATAACTCAATTAGCTAATTCCCCCCAGAAATAATCCCCCATATTGTCGTATAGTTATTCCTGAAATGGCAATTGGACTGAGTATATTTCCAAAACGGTGCATATACAACAAATATATATTTATTTTATCTTGATTGAAAAAGAAATAATATTAGAATTTTATTTAAATTAAAGCCATACAGTGATTTAAAACAAATTGTGGGAGAAACAAAAAGAAAAGATTACTACATTAGTGATTCAAAACTTCACACTTGTGGAGTAGCGTTATACGGATATCATACATATTACAGACTACTTCCAGAGATAAATGGTGACCTCGTGATTTCAAAAACATCAAATATCACAGAAAGTCACGTAAGGTAGGTAGATGAAATGGTAAAAAAACATTAATTCAAAATAACGAACGGACGAGATTTTTCCATTAGCAGGCTCCACCATTTATTTAAAAAGCAGTGTTGTAGTCATCCTCAAATCCTTTATTTGGTTCCCCATTTACTTCGGCCGCCTTCTTTTTCGCGTCAGCGCTGGTTTCATGGTAATCGTTTTCTGCGAACGTGGATTCTTCTTTTTTATCCAGAGGATCATCCTGAGTTTCGTAGAATTCAGATTCGTCCACATATTCGTATCGAATTGCGAGAATAATAAAAATAATGGCGGCGACACCAATCAGTCCAGCAAAAAGAAAGTATTCATCAGCCTAAAAATATTGATGTAGTTTAGAAAAATTCACCAGAAAAAAAGCATCAGACCCGATGAATCACGTACTTGTCATGATATGGAAGCTGCAATGTACTATGGGTCTCGATGACGTGAGAAAAGTCGTACAGGTTTGGAAAGTAAGAGGTTGGGAGAAAAATGAATCCGTATCCCGAATACATTTGAGAAATCGACAATCATTGTTCAGTGAAAATATAGAGCAGTGGTTTCCAACCTTATATGGCTCAAGGTCCCCTCCCGAAGACTTTTAGCACTCATGATTCATATTACCTGGTTTGGTACAAATTTAGCTTCAGCGATAATAAGCACAATAATATTTCCAAGAGATACTGTCAACAGCCAAAAACTGGCAAGAACGGATTTCATGCTTGTCGGTGCCTAAAAAAATAGAATTTAACGAATATGGTATATACTATACAAGTATATTGTATATACGTGCTTTCATTAAATTTGTATTTCTAAAAAATTGCGATTTATATTAACTATTACTCCTCGAAATGAATTAATTAATTGATTGAACAAGTCAGTAACAAATGCAAAAAACGAGACAATTCTCATACAATTTCACATGAGCATGAATTCAAATGTTACAAATGGTTGTTGTGACTTCTTTCAGACTAGAGTTACATTTTATCAAAGATGTCTAATGGGTGAACTTTTGAGTTTTGCATTACCCTATTTTTCAATAAAAACCAACGCAATAAATATATAGTTCAATTCAATTCAATACAGCAGAATATTCATTTACCTGACTGTACGAGAATTCAAGACCTGTAACAGACAAGAAAACTTCTCCCAAAGTGATGACAAAGTATTGCGGGATCATCCAAAATAAATTGACGGTGTTGGGGTAGACATCAGTGTACATTACAGAAGCAACGACTTCATTCTTAAAGATAAGCAAATAAAAATTAAAAATTGTTAATGATTTATAATTGAATAAATTGCTTGTTGCTAATTTTAACCACAGTTATATTTTTTGTTCTGAATATCACCACTCATGAAGTTTACTAAAGTCTGCCAAAAACGAGCGGAAAGCTATAGTGAACCATCAATTTTAAGTCTAATGATATTTCATATGTTTTTGTTTACTACGTTTAGAAAGTTCCCTGTTAAAGCCAATCCAGAACAATTTGTACTCCACCTTTTCTATGACAAAATACTGAAGATCATTGAGCGGTATGTATATTGATGTAAAATACTAATTTACAATTTTGAAATTTTAAATCATGAAAAATGTAGGTTTCTGAATGAAAGTAGTCAAATATAACAATCTAGACAATGATATTGTTTACCTCAGTTGTACCGTTATTCCATACAAGTATGGTGTAATCACCACCAGTATCGACGTAGTAAGAGCTGTTTTTGATGTTTGTACCGTCCTTATAAACCATCATAGTGTAGCTGCGGCAACAATAAAGTAATAGTTTTAATATAAAAAGATCCCAGTTATTTAGTGTTTTCTAACCATCAGCTAGTTGAAATATACAAAACATTTTCATAGATGGTAATATCGTAGATTGACAAACAGTTTTATCGCAATCTTCTCAGATCTGTTGCTTGAAGCAAATGTTGGTTGCGCCATTGTTACAGAACAAATATATAAAGTTTCCACGTGATTTAATTCCATCATGCATTTATTAGAACATTTTCTTAAATTTTGATTAAGTTTATACTGAAAATAAAATTCAAAGCATCCAAGCACGCTATTGTTTTATGAAGTTTTTCTTACTGTTTGTTACTTTTTCTTAGTGTGAAATCCTATTTAACATTCATAAATTTGATGACATCATGCTTCAATGATGACATCAACAAGGATGTCTTCTGTACTTACGTCTTTCTATCAATGTCCACTTTTTCACTGATGTTATTAGTTGTAACAAGTAAATTATGGTTTCCAAGTCCGGTTATTGTTGCGTTGTAATCTAATGCATTGAAGACTCTGAAAGACAAATAAGGAGGAGTAAATAATTGGACAAATAAATGAAGATTTTGCAAACCCTGGTATGAAACAGGCGAAGATAACAATATTTCGTAATAAAATGCAAAACATGTACTAATATGTCAACGGTGATGAAGATGAATACAAAGATGAGAACAGAATTGTCAAGTCATTGGGAAGAAGAATACGTTTTCATTAGACAAGAAAATAAACCTTTGTGATTAATCTCTCATAGGCTGCTAAGTCACAATAAAGTCAGCAATGTTGGCATCAGGAAACGAATTAAACTTCATATTTAAATTAATAAAAAGACAGCGGGAATTTATTATATCATTTGGCAAGGCATCCGATGTATCAATTGAAGCTAGTTTTGTTATATCATGGAATATTGCTCGTGCTAAACACCAATACGAAAAAAATCTTGCTGATGTTGGCGCAGTCAATAGTCAAACGCCGGTTTCGCGTCGCACTACTCAAATGCGCATCTCCCAAATTAGTATATATCAATGTAACAGTTACAATGCAAAATGATTAAATGAGTTCTAATATTCTAAATTTTAGAAATATTGCGGCGCTCACATATTTCTGATTTGATGCAATCGGCTCTTATACTAAAAAAATTGCCCACCCCTGTAATATGCCTTTAACGATATTGTTTCGAATATTACTAATTACCTTACAATGGCTGCTCCACTTTCAGATTTTTCGAATATTCCATTGAACTGTTAAAATTAAGAATAACAGATAAATTTAATAAATGGCATTATTTAGATATATCTTAAGATTGGAATTGCTTGAAAGAAATAACCAATATTGAATTTATTTGATGACACGAATAATATTGAAAGGTAATAAGATACGCAGAATGACATTGACTTTGACAATCGAAAATTCAGTCAACCGTGTATGTATTAATTCTATTATGACAGGTTTTTTTACCCCTGTAGGTATAGGCCTGCCTATTTCTCTGTTTTCAAACTCATTTGAACATTTTTGTAAGTTTTGTTCACATAATTTGAGTACAAATCAAATAAATCAGTTGTTCTTTGGTCTTTGGAGTAATTATACGGTTGCTGCAGTAATAAAATAATTTCGTAAAGCTAAGATAAACTATCTGAACCTGTGCATATATATTTCTTGACAATTTTGTATTGAGGCAAGATCCTGGTATCACAAACAAAAATAAAATAAACAACAAAAATGCAGCAAAGGCGCCAGGTACAAAAGTATGTTTTTACGGGTCAAATGTCACTGCTGAAAACTATTGGTTAAAATGTTAACACAGAAAACTCACCACTTTGGATCTCCAACCGTCGCCATCTTTATCAATAACCAAATTCACAGTGGATTGTTTAGGAATGGTTACATATGCTCTTCCGAAGCCAGCTTCCCCAACGCAGTGAAACTTAACCTCCAATGGTTCCAACGTTTCAATCATGCTGGGATTGACAAATCTCTCTAGTGTGTTTGATTGCTGAATAGATAAACGGGCGTTTCAGTACTGGTGAAAAAATTTTTGGACCTGCTACCAGTTTCGCAAACTCCAACAGTAAATAACCTTATATAAATCTAAAATTTTGCATTGCAAAAACAACTCAATCATGGCTTTTTATTGAAATACTCAAAATAATAGATTTTCAATTTCTATTATTCATATTATTAACTAAAAAAAGATTTTCTATCCGCAATTATACTTGTTCTTTGTCATACACTCAAAAAAACTCATTGCCACTATAATTTTGCCACAAAATTGCGTTTTGCAAAGCTTCAAAACTAAAACAAAGTGAATGTTACATACCGCTCCAGGGTTAAGTAGTAAACCATCGCCCCCTTCACTCCCAGTCTCACTCCAATTAGGATAAATATCAGTCCAGATTTGAGCTTTGCAGTTTCCACCGTTGATGACACGGAAACTGGCTTGGTTACCAGCTTCTGGTATTACTGTCAACGTTTTCTGTTTATAAATAAATAAAAATTTGATACTTACAGTGTATAGCAACTGTGGGCAAACCGCGGCCCGCGAGCCGCATGCGGCTCTTCTGGCTAGCATTAATTATTATCCAAGTTTAACTTAAAAGAAACTGTAGTACTGTATAACATTTTTTTTTTAAATTTATTAAGCGGTAGAAGAAGTTTACACCAATGATTAAAACAAAGTATGTTTTAGTATGAAAATCGTTATGGCGTGGAATTTTGAATCAATCAAGCGATAAATCTTACGTCACAATAGTTAAATGTATGTTGACGCGTTGGCGGAATTATAACTTGATTGGGGTTAGTCTCAGATACAGTGCTATATGTCCTCAAGTAAGAAGCGAAAATACAAAGATGAGAACAGAGTTGTCAAGTCATTGGGAAGAAGAATACGTTTTCATTATTCAAGAAAATAAACCTTTGTGATTAATCTCTCATAGGCTGCTAAGTCATAATAAAGTCAGCAATGTTGGCATCGGGAAACGTGTTGAACTTCGTTCATATTTAAACTAATAAAAAGACAGCGGGAATTTATGATAATATTTGACAAGGAATCCGATGCATCAATTGAAGCTAGTTTTGTTATATCATGGAATATTGCTCGTGCTAAACACCAATACGAAAAAAATATTGCTGATGTTGGCGCAGTCAATAGCCCAAACGCCGGTTTCGCGTCGCACTACACAAATGCGCATCTCCCAAATTAGTATATATCAATGTAACAGTTACAATGCAAAATGACTAAATGAGTTCTAATATTCCTAATTTCAAAAATTATGCGGCTCTCACATATTTCTGATTAGCTGCATGCGGCTTTGGTTTTAGTATATGCCAAGCAGTCGCCATTTCAATAAAATGAAGTCGACTCAAAGCATCACAGTCCATGAAGCACCACAGTCTAAGTGTAACCATGGAGACCTCAGTGCGGGGCAGGCTCACAATGTTTTCATTCTGAAGTAACTAGGGACTAATAAAGAACATTGTCTTCGTTCGATTGCCGGGCTAACCATATCACTTCCACATAATACGGTTATTCTAATCATTCAACTCGAAGTTTTATTCTTGTGTATGTCAGCATGGCTAAAATACCTCAAGATAGGGAAAAAGTTTTTCCGCAAACACATGTTCCCTGAGCGCTTCATTGCAAATAAACGATTGGAAAGTACTTACGTCCATCTCCATTTGAACTCCTGCTGCCAAAATAAAAGAGATTCCGGCCAATATCATTCCCAATGTCATTCTTCGAAGCGGGCTGTTATGACACAAAAGACAAAAAATCGATCATATATCTAAAACTACGTATTCAAGTCATGTCTAAATTTGAACTCGTTTTTTAATATTTTATAATTCATTTGTGTACCTGAAATTAATGTTGTATTTTCTCAAACATGGATATAATGTCGCTTCGAACAGTGGAATCATAGTTACAATAAGCAGTGGGTTGAATACTTGCATTTGATCCGGCTTCACTTGAATAGCCTGTAACGAGGGGTGAAATAGTTGAAAATAGCTATTGCCTTGCTATGTCATTCATGCCAACTAGATCGCACAACTTTACTTTTGACATTGTTACTGGACACAAAATGTATACATGCGAATCATTTGAATTTTTGTTGTTGAGGATTTTGTCATGAAAAACAAAATTTTCGCAATTTTTGAACGCATTAATCAAGCAAATTTTGAATAGTCAAAGATGGATGAAGCCGCTAGGAGGCTGTTACTTTTTTTTATATCATATTTACTCTTATTCTTGTGGAACACGATATTTCATCCAAAATGTTGCTGTTTTGCTTTAATGAAAACAGAGATTTTGTTTATTTTGTAACGCTTGACCTCCTCCATCATGTCTGCCTGCCCGTTCATTTAGTAAATCCGGTGCTCTCAGATCTTACCGTACCGATAACTACGCGGTAGCTCCGCGTCTTGATTTTAATTGAATTGAATCTTGATTTTGTATACATAATCGATAAAACAGACAAAAATAAAATAACTAGTTTGATTTTATCTTTGTGTACAAAACTATTTTTGTTAAAATCGTGCTTTACACCGCAAGTTCGAGCTTTCGAAATCCGCAAAATTAGCGCACAGACTTGGAGGCGCTCCAGAAGTGTGTGTACCAATATGGAAGGAACTAATTTTGTTCGCCTACTTTACATCAAGTTGTGTAAAGAAACGGAAGCTTATGAGCGGAGGGTATATTCACTTGGTTAACACAGACAGTCCCCGAACTCGTAATAGAACTAAAATAAGGATAATCGGAATAAAATTATGGCCTAACTCTAACATGGTACATATACTACGGTGGTACCGACTTGTCTCAATGTAAAAAGCCCACGATATCGCAAAAATTTTATTCTACATACTCCGACATATCCGTTCATTCTTGTGGCTTGCAATGTCCATCGCGATCCTTGTTGATCAAATAATGTCCAGAACAGAGGTAATGGGATGTACAAAATGAGCACACGCAGCACATACTTGGTGTCTCTGACCATCTTGTACTAAATTACAAAAATGTGAATTAGAAGAGTAATGGATGAAAAACACAATAACAGTAAAAATAGATACAAAAAAAGTATAAAAAAAAGTACGGAATGAGCAAAAAGAATTGTCATTGATGAGAACAAAAAAACTTGAATTGTTAGTTCAACTTACGCTGGTATCAACAAGAGCGTAGTCCATCCAGTGGTCTTTGTTTCTTTCGCTTCGTGGAGTGTTCCATCGATGCTTAATCGCAGACTGTTACATATAAAACAATATTATCCATTCAATTGGATTGAATTTCCAAACGTTTTGACTTTATTTTGATTTTTAGAGTTTCATTGTTTCTGATAGCCAAGATAATGTCAAAAATGTTAAAAATCGAACCCCCATTCCTTTGAACACTTCCGCAAAAACGTTTCCTTCTGGCTCTTTGATGGTGTAAAATGAGGTTCCACCGATAAAAGTTACTGGAAAAGATCATCAAACGAAAGTACTTAGAAATGCAGTGCTTTTAACCCCTTTATATACCACAAAACAACAAGTTAACAACATTTCACCATTTCAACAGAAGCTCTCATAAAAAAAATTAAAGTTAATAACTTGATTATTTTGCACACAACGCACGTTGTAATTCTTCTGTTTTGTTAGAGACAATTTGTATCAATTATTGATAATAATTAATTTATTTTTCATAAATATCTGATTCATTGGATATTGCCATGATATATAGCGCAAGAACATGATATATAGGTTCAAATAGGTCGTCAGAGAAGAAAATAGATTGGAAAAACTATAACTCTAAACTCAAAATAGCAATGATTACTGTGTGCCACTTTATATATACGCGATCTCAGCATCATAAAACTACTTTTGGTTAGGGCTTGGCATTTTCGAATACCTTGTGATTTCAGAATCGAATCGAATAATATTTTTCGAATCGAATCTCGAATACTTGAAAATATATAATTGTAAGCGATTTTATTATAGTAATTGGTCCTCTCAACAAATGAATTACCTAAGACATAGAATAAATCACCCAGATAGATTACTGAGCGCTCACACAGAATAACAAACACGTTTTATCAATAACTCACTACAGAAAATAGTCATATGTTAGAATTTCGTTGAAAAAATATGACTCCAATATAAATAAAATTGGGGAATTCCCCTCGACCATTAGCGGAAAGGCAAAAACAAGATGGCGGCGATTCGAAATTTAGCTCTGAACCGATTCGAATAATTTACCATTCGATTCGAATATTCGATTCGAAATGCCCAGCCCTACTTTTGGTACGTGATTTCACCCACTTAACGTGATCTCAATCTTATAAAGGCATTCTCATAGAATCCGATTTATACCCCTAACCGTTGAAATAGGATTAGGTTAATACTAAGATCACACAATCTCTGAAATCGCATACAAAAGTGAGTTAAGAGTAGGGTACAAATATCACGACATCCCATTCGATCACTTCGACATTCAAGAATTTGATCATTCAATTTTTTTTGGAATTATACAAAACTTTGAAAAACGCAGAAAAGACTCAAACATTTTTATGATACTCAGAATTTTTATTATTTTGTTCGCGGGCCTAAGATGTCTTTTAGGGCGGAAAATGGGGCGCACGATGAAAAAGTCGAGAACCGCTGCTTTACTCATAAAAAATAGGGTTGTGATCTTATCATCATTGCCATTAAATATGTCTGTTTTGTGTTTTGTGTGTAGCATGATTTGAAATCGATATCTGACAGAGATAATTTCTTGTAACTAATGGCTTCATTTATTATTTATAGAATATTGATTCAGAGTGTAATTATGGTGACATTATGGACATCAATCCTAATTACACCAACTGAAATGTTAGTCGCTCAGTTCCCTTTCTCGTCTCTTCACACTTATCTACGACCATGAAATTTTCCACGATCAAGTATTGCCGAGATACTCTTATATTAGTAAAATGATCCTTTTTTAAATTCAATTGTCTTTAAATAAAGGATACAAAGTTTCTGATATCGTTTTTCAGCTTTTTGTAATTTTTCCTAAATTGACTTTTATATAACACACTTTGACTGAAAATTCTAAACATAACCCTTTTATATATATAAGAAGGTTCTTTGAAACGATTCTCAAGTGAATTTAAATGAGTGAGAAATAGGGGAAATTAATGCATGAATTAGTAATGACAGAAACAAACAGTACCACGTATAGCTAATGCGTGCAATGTTTTCTTTATATATTAGTCGGATATTTTCTGGCGACTTCTGTCTAGAAGCTGTATATTTTTCGATCTTCATTTCCGATGTTAAATTTATCACCAGCATTCTCAGTGCGGCAGGCGACACATCACGCGATTTCGTTTTATGCAATAAGATTCACAATCGAATAAATTGAAATAGGAGCAAACTAGAATTTATTCCCGTTGCCAATCTTCAACCTTCAACTCATTTTATGAAATGCAATCATATCTTGTTACCATAGTGAAATTAAAGTCACAAAAACGATGGAAAGAGGCTTATAACTCTTTTGGTTCTCATACCCTGATAAATAAAATGTGACTTCATAAAATAAATTATCTGGAAATATTAGAAAACTTTCTGAATGTTTCTAAACAAAATACAACTCACTTATAGCTACAACCATCAGTGCTGCTGGAATTCCAAACGCAAGAGCATAACAGTCATCTCGGCCAAAACAGTGGACATCATCTGTACATAACCAATTGTGATAATTATTTTTCACAATTTTACGCATAAATCAAAATCAACTAATTTTGAAAATGAAAACAAACGTCACCTCGAATAATTGGGGAAACAATCGTCGACACCAAACTTCCGGCATTAATGGCAAAATAAAACAGGGAAAAGAAGCTTCTTCTGTATTGTTCCTAAAATAAATAAAAAACGCTGGAATAAAGTAAAAACATGATTATCATGGTCGCGAAGGTGGGTCTAAGTTTTTCACCGGTTTGACACATTAAAAGTCCACGGGTTTCATCATTTCGGTCGGATCCATATAAAAAATGTGGCGACTTGACCACAGCCTTGTTTGGCAAAATGTGCGAACAATTCACTATTTCATTTTTTTAGTAATTAAATATTTCGTGTTCCCCTGACTTAATTTGCCATTTTGAATCCGTTGGAGGTTAAAGGGATTTCACAAATGCATGATTTCACAATGCAAAACAGCAATGCTCATATATATGGACAAGGTGGGAAATATAGAGTAGTACGGCTATGTACTCTTCCAGAGTAAACTACCAGTACCGCAGTCTTCACGACTTCGCCTGACCACCCGATAGCCACGACGCCGGAACCGCCTCAAGGTGCGCAATTTTTAATTTTGATGACGTCACCACATACAAAAGTAAGAATCCAATTGAGCCCATAGAAATTTTTAAAATAAATAAAATAATAGCCCTCTAGCGAAATAAATATTCTTTAACCCCTGAAAATTTCAATTCGGCAATTGGTCAAGTAATTAAAGAAAAAAGCGTTTTTTCTTCATAACAACAAGAAGAAAAGAATGATAAGCAGGAACAACAACATAATAACAAAACGATCTATATGTCCACTTCGTGTACAAAAAAAACAGGGGGTTCCAATAAAATAGCATTTACTTGTTCTGGATCAAACTGATCACCTCCAAATGAGGAAACGCACGGTTTGATACCTCCCGTTCCAATGGCAATAACGAACAATCCAATCATCGACAAAACACTGTAAAAACATTTTTATTAATTTTGCGTATAATCAGACATACATTTTAAGGGTTTTTTCACCCCTCACCGTTGTTTCACTATTGCTCCGTATAATTATATGTACTAGCAAAAACACACTTGGGATAACTTTCGGTGGTGAGTTGTCTTTATAATAGTAGGAGTACGACTCGTTTCTTATTACCCATCTCATTACTATAAGTTTCGTTTGTTGTTTGTAGCCATATTTCAATTCCGTCGTTTTTTTTTCAACTTCACAGTAAGTATCCAGAATTGGTATCGCAATAAATGTCATCAGGAACGTTTTATGCAAGTAAATATCAAGCTTATACTACTCAATTTTAAACCTCCTTCGCAAAACACTGACGCTGCTCTCAAACTAACGTGGGTATAAAAATGAATTGTTTAAAGAAGAAGCCTTGTGTGAGTATATATATATATATATAAACTTTCCACATACGTTAATCAATAAATTTTCTGTAATTAAGGATAAAAATACTTACAGATGCATTGTGTCTAATCCGATTGGAGGACACGCCCCCATTGTGATCAAAAGCATACCAATGGCGTACACGATAGAGAGGTATAAAATGGTTCTAGTAAAAGAAGATAACAACAATAAATATTTGCAAAGAAATTCCATCACCCAATTAATTAGTATTGGTTAATTAAAGTGTGATTCGATATTGTGTGTTGAACATTTAAACAATTAGTTGTTCATAACCGCCAATTGGTTTAAAGAGTTTCAGTAGCTGCGGAATATAGTTCTATAATAAGTCGGCGTTGTATCGATAGAAAATGAACATCAAAGCACCGTGGTTGTGTATTAAGCGTATTACTTAAAATTTTAAGTTTGACGAAATTTGGCAGTCGAGAGCTTACTTGTATTTTCCCCACCAACTGTCAGCGATGAAGGCACCCAATAATGGGAAAAGATAAGCAAGCACTGTGAATGCATGGTAGACAGCAGTCGAAGTGTCATCATCCATTGTCAAGTAGTATTTGAGATATAATACCAAAATTGCTGAAAATAACAGTATTCAAAAACTTATCGAATGCTCATAGCACTTTCTTGTGGGCAGCTAATGAAAAGTAGGAGAAATTTGTAGAATTAGGGAATATTGACAAACTTCTAAACAACATTTCTTAATTTCGTATTTTCTCAAAATCCAAAAGAAAATATAAAAGACGAACATATTTCCGAAAAATAAAATTCGCTCCCAACCAGATTTAATCAGATGAGAATAACAAACCACTTACTTCGCATTCCATAGTAAGAATATCGTTCACAGAATTCGTTTCCCAGAATAAAGAAGACATGCTTTGGATATGGTTTCTGAAAAATAAAAAAATAGCATACAAATTATCCACCTAATATTCCAGTCCATTCGAATACTGATGCAAGCTAGTTACGCTATGTAGTTTTTGACTAGACGAATAACAATGAAATCGATGGTGAATATCTTAGGCATATTAAAAGTAGGTTAACTTCGTATCGACCAGTTTTATCATTGTTCACACCCGCCTATACAAACGTTAACTACTCAAACACACGAGTATGGTGACTATTGTTTGATGCTTGAATTATATCACAATATTTTCACAGAATTTTATCGAACTACCGCTATCTATTCGTATGTCGTTTGAAAATACGTCATAATAGCCCATTTATGGACCACGATCTGTGAAGTAACAAGGCGGCGAATCCAATATCAATTCAATGTATGGTAGTTAGTATTCATAGATTCAGAGTGTATCACTATTGCCTTCTCGACCTCCCGTAAGTGGATATTTGAAGAGATAGAAAGAGTGGTGTACTATATTAGGATGATAGTATATCTATTTTGAATGAACTAAACGTGATATTAGTCAAAGAATACACATGGTGATCAACAGCTGCCACGTGTTCGTACTATATTCGAATATGTTTCGTATAGCCAGAACTTTCCATCCCTTTTCTATTATGCTCGTATTAAGTTAAACTACATTTATTGCACAACGACGGGCACTGTGGCATTGGGACATGGCATTTACCTCAAATTTTACTCAAATTTACGCACCTCAAACCACGGTATACAACTATATCCCTCAGATTCGGATTTGGGAGTTTTTTCGTCCTCATCCTTTTCAACGTCACTTCCAATAGTTAAAGGTGTCCTATCTGTGGCTTTAACGAGCCCTCGGCGGGTCGGCATTGCGACCTGTCAATCTGCAGCTGATTTATCTGCTAGCCTCGTCAACATGCCTCGCGTTAGCAATAGGCGTATATATCGTGAAGCAATACTACGTCTGAGACAAAATACTACGCCACACTATAGTCTACACAGCCTATATCATATGGTCATATTTAGCGATCTAAAAACAACACAATCAGGCATCTCGCGTTCCGTATGCAGATCAGCTTTCAGACAGCCTGCATCTGCCGGAAATGATGTTTCCCTTTATGATAGTCATGAAACTGCTAAAGCGTGTGCGCACCACGCTTATCCTTAGTAATTTATGAAAGATACTTCACAGCGATACAGAAGTAAAAATTCCTATACCTTATAGCAGAAATTTTTTATTTACGCCTCCGGCATATAGACATTTGAAATCCGCAGCACTCTGAGGCAAATCTAACTTCGAAGCGACAGGAACTGGAATCTTGCGTAGTTAGTTAATGTATTATCAAGATGGCAAGTGATCCATAGGACAAAATACCTGTACTGTATAATGTTGGCTAATAAAATTCAATAATAGCGGTAACTGATGGAAGTGAATACAACGACAATAACGTTTAGGCGACTAAAAGTTATTTCGAATCATTCCTAAATCAAGGCCTCATCTGAAATATTCACTTAGTCCAGATTCAATCGTAAGGTAAAGTATAGTTTATAGTGAAATTGAAGTGAGGTTTAACGAAAATAATGAAATGAATAATAAGCAGCATGAGTCATTCACAAATGTCGGAAACAAAATTGCCATTGATAGAGGCATACTTGTCGGTCCGCGGCCGTATGAACCTAAAGAAAGTGGTGAACGTCTCGTCTTAATGCTTGTATACTTTATGAGAATTATTTATGTGACGGAATATCTAAATTGTTGCTGGTAGTGGTGTTCTTGCTTTTGCTATTGTTGAGATGAAATTGCCTTGCTCTTTAACTACATGACTGATTGTAGATTATCTCTATCTCTCTGGATGCTTTTATTTTAATGTTTCTTCAAATTCCCTCTGAACTCCTTGGGCTGCCCAAATGGTAGGATTTGAGAAATCAATTGCGCCATCACGTTTTCAACAGATTAATTTCTGCTAACTCGTGCTAAACGAAAGGCATGCGTTAACGTATTCTGCGTTCATTTCATGCATAGCTCACATGTTAGTTGAAGCAAATGAAACATATGACAAAGAGAAAAACAAAAATATATAGATGTAGGAAATACAACAACATAGCTACGGCACTACTTAAAAAATTCCTGAACTATATAAAATCTTAATGACATTGATTTTGAAAACGTGAAAATGTCATGCGTGAGCACAAAATTGTTATTAAGAGGATAGAAATATTACAAATGTCGCTTGGATAAGTAGGAGCTTTTACAAAATGTGTCGTTGAAATAAGTCAAAAATGACCTGTTATCCCTCATTTATATTTACTTATTTCCTTCACATATTACAAAATAGTAAACTAGGTTCATTTCGATTCGAAAAACGATTCCTATGTGACTAATGGTCTGATAAGGTCATAATATATACGTTTCAAATTTACAAATGGAGCAAAAATGCTGTCTGAGGGATACATGTTATGGTATAGAACAGTGGCGCCACCTATATGGCGCTAGTCGGCGATCGATTTCTTTTGCGTAGGAAAAGTATTAAAAAAAATGGGCATTCCAGAAATATCTGAAGAAATTTGCAATCACTAGAAAGGATGTCGGTTTATCAAGAATTGTCACTCTCATAGAAACAATCAACAACATTGTGACAGGTTTCGAACAGCAAGTTAGGTGCTACCAGCGTAGCTAAAATAAATTGGTCATGATAGATAGTAGGTTTCGTTTGCGTTTTTGTTGTATTTGTTATAGTTCATCATTTATAAAGCATGTGCTATACATTCGTGTAACATGCACTAAAATCTTGTCAATGTTCACTATCGGTCGACGCTGTTGTCCCGTATTCTTGGACTCCTTGATATCTTCAACACATACGTCATGATGAGATCACGCGTACCTCCACATAATTTGTCAATATTTTCGTAGCAATTGTGTCTTATATGGTACCATTGTTTTTCGAGTTGCTACAGGGACAGAGGACGTTTGACGAGAATTGAAGGTCGTAGAATTTGCTGTCATACGCATTAATCATTACTGTTTATCAAATATCGCACAATCACACAAAGTTAAATTACCCTCTGTTTACCTAGAGCAAGAGAAACAGACATTCGTGGAGTGTTCCATCAAGGACGGAACAACCAAACCCCAACCATGTCACAACTGTTTTTATGATGTACTCAACATTCTCAACCCTATCGAGTATTATACTAGGCCTTTCATGAAATTCACTAAGTTAAGTTGGAAGTATTCACATTATGGTCGGACTTGGTCACACCACCAGCATTCTATCTAACTGTGTCGACATATTTTGATATGTCATGACTTTCGACCCGACACAAACTGTTTGTTCGTTCACCTATTTTATCGGCACTTTAAGTGAGATATTATTGGAACTACTATCGTCATTATCATGTACTTTATTTGCTTTTATCTTAAAAGATATAGTTGTTGAATTATGGGACTTTGTACTTAGGCATTGAAAGCTAAATAACGACAGCAACTGGCGAGCAGGCTTGTCCGTAGAACCAATTTTTCTGTCCCAACCCATTCCCACGGACAAGCCTGGGTATTTGTTTGGTATAAAGCTCGAATCCGAGTATTCATAAATGATACTGTTAAAAGAATATTTATTCATGTTAATATTTATCCACTTTTGCAATTTCAAAACCGGGAATATGAGACTTGGCAGTAGAAAAACACGAGTGACATCTAGAATCGCATGCAGAAATTTGTTCAAGTTCATTCTAAAATATCATGTTACTGCAGCAGTTTTCCACCGTATTGTATATTTCCTCTCCACTCTTATAAACTTAATTATTTACCAATCAGAGCTATATGGAAATCTATTAAGAAGAAATTTCCGGCACCCATTTATATAGGTTTATTTCGGAAGAACTAGAAATATACACCAATTTTAAAGTTGTGGAGGTGCATATATTACTGGGCCACTATTACTGTACCGGTTTCAAATACTATAGAAAAGGGAATTAATTACAAAATATGTTCTGAATGAATGAATTTAAGCGATAAGCGACAAAATGCCGAAAGAAGTTATGGCAATAAATCTTTAATTACATTTAATAAAATTTAATAATTAAAATATATCGATAATATATACATGAATAAATCTTGACTCACCGTGGTTTTGACTTGCTCCATTTCAGATATTGAACTATCTGTAAACACAGAAAAATAACATTATAAAAACAATGCACAGTTTTTTGAATTACATTCGTTTAACATATCGTCACGCTAATAACCGAATTGCGTAAGTCATTTTTAGCAGTTTTGAGAAAAACGTAAAAAACTTCCTAACGATATTGTTATGCCATTGAGAGTCAATAATTTGCCATGGTTCAATTTTTTGATCGTAGCCGGATTTAAGTTAATTTGTATGACGCAGTTAAGTGACGTCATAATGGCGCACTGTGACTTACGCAGAAATGTGTCTATGACTTGGGGACATACGCAATTTTGCAACTATACTATATGCACCAGTCCTGAAAACTAAACATTCCAAAAACGACTGTAATTCTTAGTATCTACAATGTCTAATCCCCAAAATAGCTAATCAGTTTCAATTACATTATTTTTTATGTTTAAAAATATATATGTCATCAATATACCACGTTTTGCACACCCACCGAAATAAGACTAAGATTAAATATACAGAATGAAACAGCAATGCACCCAATATAAAAGCCAACCAAGGTGAATTGAACTCGGACAGTGAATATTACAAGTGCACGTCTTCCTATACTGTAGTATAAATTCAAATTAATACGCGCTAAGCTAGAATCTGAGATGCAAAAACTCGAAAATCCTTAGCCGATGTTATATTGCCCTCGTGATGTCTCAATAGACCTGCGGTACCAATGATAATTCATTATGACGAAACAATTGCACAAATGTGCATGTCATACTAAATCTCCATTTTTATGGGTTTCGGAATTCTTAAAATAAAATCTGAGTTAACAGACAGGTGCGCAGCATTACATAAATACCTATTTTATAAAAAACTCAAAATCGCCAAAAATGACTTACGCAATTCGGTTATTAGCGTGACGATATATATTGTCAAAAATAATTTCCATGATAAACGTCTAACAGTTATACACATGTATGATATATTATATATATACTACTATTGTGTCTTCCACCTCTTCGTGACTGATTTGAATTTTACTTGGACAGTCACAGTCAATAGAATTGTTAGTAAATATACGAAAATGTAGAGAAAGTAGATTTATGGTTATACCTTCGCTTTCGTTCCCTTTCTTGCCCATATTCTTTTGCTTCTCTGAAAACCCTCACGTTTGTATGAAAAAGTCTCAAAAATCAGGAATAATGGATTAAGAAATGCTACGCAACTCTGTGAAATGTGAACAGAATATTTTCTTTATATTTTTTATAGATTGAGTTTGGTGAAGACTCGTGTCAACTAGGATTTCTGACGTGGACTATTTTATCAAGATTGGATAAGACAGCATTTCACATTTATTCATCGAGACAACAAACTTACTTATGCGTTCCAATATATATATAAGAAAGAGCCCGTGTATACTCGGCTAACCAACAAGCCGAATAATAATCCTGGAATAAATAAAATCGAACAGTCAATAACTGAATGTGGTAATATAAAATTAAATTTACCATATTTTCTGTCACTTTTATTCCATGCTTGCAGCAATGCAGTAACAAAATAATGATTATAATCGTCACTCGTGTGAACCAAAAACACAGTTCTAATTGGCACCCTCAAGTAATATTTCATTGAAAGTGCCTTCCTGTATAAAGGAAGATGGGCCCGATATATCTGGATGTTCCCCTCCAGTACTATTTAACGTACTTTAGCGGAGTAACACCAACTGACTCTTTCAGAGGTCCCATAAACACACAATTATGTGATGCCAAATGTTCGTATATTGCAGGCTGTACGATCAAATTGGAAAGATCCAAATACAAGTTATACAATTGAGATCCAAATCACAAATAGAACGAAGAAAACATCAATAAGTTATAACACTATTTTCTCAACTTTCGTCTGAGAGCTGAAGGGTCGGTACACAGAAGTACTGCATGAAGACAAAAGGCTTGTCGCGATAAATCACCATTAGGGGAAAAAAGCGAGAATAACCAAGTTCCATGGAATTAAAAATGATAATAACACAAAGGGGTAACATTAAACTTCAAAGTAAACATTTCACATTCGCTACACCTAGAAGGTATTCTCGATCATAGGTCTGATAAATCCAGAGCTTATATCCTTTTTATACATAATCGTATTCATAAATAATGTGAATCACAATTTTTTACTCCTAAATGAAGAAATCAAACTCATATGCTTTTATTCTCTCTATCGCAAATATGAACATAAAACAAAAGATATTTTTTCCTTTAATTCTAATTTGAGAATTCGATTTTTTTTTATTTCAGTAATTCTATGACATTAATGCATAATAAACGAAATTATTATTTATTATCAAAATTACTTTATTCCCGCTTTGATGTTGAAAACAAAATTTTTTCAGAAATATTTCAAAACAAAATTTTTGCTTTATTCATAAATCTCCAGTAATAAAACATCTAGTTTGATATATACCAAAAAATATTATTATTTATTAAAGTATTCGAAAAATAACAATTTAGTAGCCATAAAATGCATTAAATGAGTTTAATTTGTATTATTGCGAGTAATTATTTTTACAAATATTCTGTTAATCCTGCAAATACTGATTATTCATCCTATATGCTGTAAAAACAAAAAAAAGCCCAACAAATATGATGTTGGAGACTACAATCCAAATGAAAAACGCAATTACGCACCAGTGATTGCAGGGCTATTAATAAACAGCAGTGAGCAAGTGAGAATATTTATATAAACTGGAGTGTTTGCCACGACTATCTTCAATTATTTGCAACATAAACAATAATTGAACCACATTTTACCTTTATCAGTTCAGTGACCACGTCTGGGCAGTAATTTTATCTTTTCATCGACAAACAAAGCGAGTCATTCTTATCTATGTCTCACAAATTATTAATTTATTGAATAACTGTAACTACAATGATCTTTGTTAAATCTACATCATTTAATTTTCTACCACAGTTATGAAGAAATATAGGTCTATGCGTATTTCAATTCCCATGCATTCCTTTCCAATAAAAATATTTGGAATAATATTCAAATTCTACTCAACAATCAACTTTTTTTTCGTTTTTTTGGGAAGGCTTCTCCAAAATATTCTAGTCTATAATTATAAGCCACAGCACTTATACAGGTTTGTTATACGTATTCACTGACAATTTGAGACATTCCGACTCATTTTCCGAACACGGAATTTAATTTCAGAGTTTTTTAAATCAATTTAAAGTTGATATTGGCCTTGGCAGTCCTATTAATTTTCAGTACCATGTGACAACCTCGATATTGCTTCATGAACATCAAACGCATACTACAAACACTAATTATGTTTTTGAAAACATCTATGAAAGTGCGTCAAGGGCTTTTGTGATAAATTTCCTGCACGCGTGATATATAAATTAGATTTTTTCAAGAGTCTGATGTTTTTTATGAAAATCATTTATATATGCCAATTTATCAAAAATATTTTTGTTCTTGATATAAACGTTTGTGCGTCTCTTTGTTCAACTGTGAATATTGAAAAGAGTTTGAATAAAAATATTATGAAAATTTTAGTACTAAAAGTAAAGAATTATTAAAATACAATATTATGCTTTCTCGTTGACGTTTTGTAGGGCTGGGAATGGTGGTTAATCGATTGGCCGATTTTGGATGGTTAACGGTTACAATTTATTTTGACCGTTAACCTACATTTCAGGTAATTATCACATTCATAATGTACATTTTTTTCAAAAAATGATTAGTTCATTGCAAATTTATCTCCCGTGGCGTTTAATCCAAACGAATATCACTAACTCGATTGGTAAGCACTAAGAAAATATAAGAAAAAATTGGAGTAATAATATTGCTGATTATGAAAATTTGACGATGACAAGGTCGGAATCAGTTTCCGGTCAGAATATAATTTTCACGATTTTATAGCAAGAGCGTCTATTCAATTTTATTCAATAAGTGTGCATTCTGTCCCTGGAATATTAGCACATCGACATTTTCGAAAAGTATTGACGAACGCTTTGAATTTACAATTTTCCTGTCGTACTGAATACACGCTCTGACGGTACAGGTAGCAGGTACGCACATATATTTTTGGGCCATTTCCGCCACATATTTAAATCTGGATCTATTACCTAGACATTTAGACATTTACAAACCATTTGACAAATTTATCATTTAATGTGACAGGGTGTTGCCCTGAAAGACGATGAGCAGAACGCAATTAGAGTTGTTCTCAGTTTTGTCCTCAATTCAACAAAATTATTGCGACTTACTCTAAACTGACTGGATGTCATTTGTCATCTGACATAAATTGATGTTCTCATTCAGTTATACCTGGAATTATGTGAAGGAATCCGACCAAATTCACCATGATTGCTCATAAATTCGACAAATTCACTCTGATGAGAAAATGGGATTACGCGTTGGCGCCAGTTATATTTATCATTGCTTTGAAATACCTATATGAGCTATTTGAAATATTTATTTTTAGATAACTCATCGGAGAATTAATAAGATCTGAGCAAATATTATTTGTTGCAATAAATGTGTCATACTTTCATAAACATATTTTTATTTATTCCATTTGAACAGAAAACTGCTTTCTCTGCATAGGTCGTGTATTGTTCTTGTGTTGTGGTCAAAACATATGCGTAAAGATAAGTGCCGGAAAGGTCTCTGATCCTAGAATTCCACGATACGAAATTAAAAACACTAAACTTTGTAGATATTTTTGCATTCATCAAATTTGTGTCTCTCCTACTATAGTCAACTTTTTTGAAGCTCCCCGAAATATTATTCAATTATATGCTTTGATTTTATTAGCAACTTAATTGGCACCGGCTGGTGATTTGATGACTGTTTGGAATAGTTTCCTGATCTTCGGGGAAGTCATGTCACGCAACCAAATAGGACAACACGCTCTATTCATAATAGACCTGTTTCAATTAAATATTGTTTTTTGATATTCGGTTGAAAACCGATTGAAATAATTGCACCAGTAGGGGCTTTGCTTCTGTGTGTCTCGCTGTAGTAGCTAGCCTGCGAGGTTTTGCTATCCAATTCGTAAGATATATAATGGCACGGTATGTGAAGGATTGGAGAAGGTGATTATTTAAGTATATTTCTAATCTGTATATATAGTGAATACTGTATATATAGTATATATTGGTAAGGTTGAAGATATGCCATTTTACAATTTCACAATACAAACCCATGTCTTGTTTGGCATTCTATTATAAGACTGGATTTCTCATAAAAACCAATGTCACAACTGATACTTTTGGATTTTAAACCTGGAAAATAGTAGCAGTTAGCAGCAGGCAATTGGCATTTGTATGGTTTCACACTTGGTCAATGATGCTTTTTGTATCAACCAAGCGACAAAAACGTATATATAAATTAAATGGCGCTAATTTTCGCGCGGTTTTGCGACGGTATCCCGCTAATATTGAATCTGATATACCATACACGGAGTAACAGAAATAATCACTTCATCTGATCGTTACACTTTAACGGGATCCATTCTAAAAAATTCTCAATGAGCCTAACCCATGAATCAGGTATGCTCTGCGGCACAAACAGAATTTAGTTTAACCGTTGATCCTCAGGTCATCGCGTCAACAACATGTATGCTCGTACATGTTCTTATTCTTGTAAAATACTCTTGAAACGACGTTACTTTTTAAACTGTGACATGTATATAGTGCTTAGTCATCGTTATGTTCGTCACAATAAAAGTCTATGAAGTTTTGACTAGAATTCCATTGTAATCATCGTGTATATTCTGTCAAACGACCTCTATGAATTTGTTGAAACATGGCCTGTCTACAGTAGTTCAAGTATCTGACTAACAGACCATGATTTATAATTGTTAACTTATAAGAATTACGGTAATTTCACACTAAAAATCACACAATTATTACATTTCTAAATAACGTTTGTTTGCATGTGCAATAAATATAGCAGTCTGAAAGAGGTGTTCTCCGAATTGTCAATATGTTTATCCCGTAGTGGCGATAAACAGTTAACTTACAGACGTTTGGGCAAAATAGAAAATATTTACAAGAATCCCATTGTCTCCAACTTCAACTAACAAATATTGAAAAATGAATTTAAATATTATGCTTCTGCTCTGAAAATGCGCATCGATTTATTCAGAATCGTAATCTATATGTGATCAAAGAAAATAGTTTCAATCAAACCAGCCTTCTTACAGAATATTGGTAAAAAAAAGATACCCTAATTTTTGCATTAGGCAATATGTTTTAGTTTAGTGGAGCTCAAACATTAATCCTTTGTTCTGCTGGCCATGACCTTATTTAGGAATAGTATACTGTAAATTGCATGTTGCCATTATCATTTACACTCTGCCGGAGGATGGGTTGTATGAACCACGACTTAAACATTTGTGTACATATTATATCTTATCTAAATGAAGCACCTTCGTGAGATTATGCAATTTTCAATCATTATGTATATGTTTGTTGAAAATAGGCTACCTCGTCGTACATCGTACAAGTTGGACTATTTTATTTTATTTCTGACAATCGCTTTATAAACCTAAATGATTCAGCAGCTTGGGAAGTAAATCATTTTTCTTGCGACTTGACAATTTGTCACATGAGCAAATATTAGTTTTATTAATATTACACTATGTTTGATCACAAAAGACTGCATGTTAAAATATTATAAATTCATCGACTGAGTATCACATGTCCATACCTCTTCGAAGAACTCATCTTGAATCAACAGTGTGGTTAGTATTAGATATTAAATGTGATTTACTGCTGTATTTCTTCTAATTAATAGGAAATGCAAATATTTCTACATAAGAAAAGGGTTAGATTGGCTTGACAGGGTTTTGTTCGCGTTGTAAAAAAAAAAGGATTTTCACAGAATACACACAGTTATACATCAAGGTAAATTCGTCATAGGTTACGTCCAGTGGTGGGATTCAAATTTTTTGTCAGCCGGTCCCATCACATAAATGTCATATTTTTCAGGCGGTTCTGTTACAAAAAGTCATGTAATGCTAACCGGTTCGCTGATCTCATGAAATTTCGTGAGACGGTTCTATAGAACCGGTGCGAACCGACTGAATCCCACTACTGGTTACGTCCCATACAATAAATCAAAGTCTGCAGGTGTGCATTAAATCACCCAACAAGATCATATCTAGCAATAAAATAGATGCCCTCGTCTAAAAGATGTTCGTTAGAAGTTGCAACAAGTTTGCAAAGCAAATCCGACTGCTAGTTCGTGGCAAAACATTTCATGTGACCCGCACATCTAGCCCCACCAAGAGAGCGATGGCAATACAGTGGCAATTGTAGGCAACAGCGACTTCACTGAACTTGGTGGTGCAATAATCTTTACGATTATATGGTTCCATTACATTTGAACCCGTGTACATTTGAACCCACGTACATTTGAACCACGTACATCTGAACCCACGACAATTGCACCTCCATACTATTGCACCTATGGAAATTTTTTTGGTCTACGGATATTTGAACCCATACTAACCCTAACCCATGGGTTTTAGCACCCGCATATAGATTGAACCCGCGGATATACACATGGGTTCAAATGTACATGTTTCAAATGTACGGTCACCGATTATATGATTTTATGTTTACTTTGACCGTTTTTCTTATAAAACCATATATATGTATATGAAATTTTTACTTATGAGATGCCAAGACTGAATATACAACTTCATTTTATGAAGGTTGGGATTTCACATTTATACGGGGAAGGGAACCAGCAGTTACATACGATAAACCGTCTCGTGCTTATTCTAGCACAGCTCTCACAAAAAAGTACCCAGGATTACCGAGCCAACCCATTAGCAGTGCCATGGCAAGCACCTCACGCTGCGCCAAACTGCGAATCTATTTATGCATACCCAATTGTCCAGTTACCGTACGGAACGTCGGAATGAGTTAATCGGTGCCGTAGTTTCTCAGTTCAGTTAGTATAGGATTTACATAATTTATCCCGGGGGGAGAGGAAAGCCGATAAGACGGCTTAGCCATATGGCGAACCACGGCCTCTCGTCCTATTACCATACCATGTCGGGTATAGGATACGGTATTTGTAAGTTACGGTATTTGTTTTTGGAAGCATGGACTTGATGGTAGAGGAAGCCATAACCCACCAGTGGTTACGTGAACCACCCTACGCCGGCGAGGAGTCCAGCCATCCTCTTGCACACAACCATCCCTGCATGGGATTCGAACCTGAGAACCCACACAGATTAATCAGAGGTGCGGTAGCGAGCGTATTCCTAACGCTTAGCACGATGAGACACATCACGCGCCGCACATCGTTTAACAAATGGACTAACTCGCTAAGGAAGAATAATCGGTAACGTATGCCAAACTAAGAAAGGGTGTAGCCATCTTATTCCAGAAGAGGCACAATGTGCAATTGCATATAAATTTATCTTGTATAACAGTATTCTGTCTATCAGTATAACAGGAACATAAAAGACACACCAGAATGGACATATTTTTTTACCATTCCAGAATAAAGTAAGGATTATAAATAATTATAATATTCCAGTTTTAATTTCAAAGAGAAATATATATGTTATCAAATCTATAACAGTCTGTAATTGATTTATAATGATGGAGCAAAATAATTAAAAATACAAATATATTTGGGCAATGACTCTTTTTCATGCTGTATCATAACAAATAAAAGTACCGGTAACATACTGCATTGAATTAATATAATCACATGTTAGGATGAGGCTCGTTAGTGAAAAGCAAACTTAAAACTAAGTCATCAATATCACACAGCCCACTTACAAAATAACAGTGTCAAGTTCCTTTTTAATTCTTCCAAGCAATGGTTTCGCCAAATCAAGGAGCATAAAAGATCAAATCTTAAGTTGGGGAATACAGCTTTTCTAACTTTAGCCTTTCATTTCGACTCCATAATCAGCATAACTGAAGATGAAATAATTGATAATAGCAAAATAAATAAAACTGATTATAGAATCGGGATGGCAAACAAAACTTCCAAGTAAGGTTTGAAGCATACAGATTTTAGATGAAAAGCTATTGTTAAAAAAAGTAGTACGTGTTCGCTCTTATTTGGACCAGCGCTTATAATTAGTCAGAAATCAAACTACCCCCATGAATGACTTTTAATAAATCTTTTCTATGACTTAAGTCAAAAAAAAAATTCCTTCATGAATGAATCGTACCACTAATCAAAGTCACCTCAAACCCACCAAAATAACATTGATAATAGGTAGCCCATAAAGTGGTTGCGTTAATTAATTAATGCTCGAACAAGTGCCAAAACCAAAAAGCCCCCCATGCGCAGTGATGATAGCACAAAGCTATAGAGCATCACGAACCTCTTTTTGAAACAGGCTTGCCTCAGTAATAAGCATAATTACTAAAAATTATTTTTAAAATTTATAAATAGTTAAAATGAGAAATTCATTCTACAAGAAAAAATAACTGACATTACGTACTAGCTAGAATTTGGATGTACTATAGCTTTGGTTTTAAACCGTTAATTTTTTTATATAGAGACAAAGTAGCAAAGCAATACAGTACGAGTTCAGTCTAGAAAGTTTAGACCAAATTGGATGCCAGAATCATGAGTTGCGGCTTGAAGCCTAAAGGTTTTTTAAAATAAATGATCGACAATTCTAAGTACATTCTAAAATAATATTTCACTCAAATTATAAATTATAGTATTTGATACGAAATATCAACAAAAAGCATGTGAGTCAAAATATATACAATAGTTATAAATCCAGAAAAGGAAAGTTAAGATTAACAGTGATTTCATGAATTTTTCACAGACATCACTCCATCAGAATCAAAATACGTTTTACCTTTCAATTGCTCAGAAGCAAATTGGAATGAATGGGACTGTTGTAAATTATTCCGAAATGATTTTAAAATAATGAATATGAAGTAATTTATATATATGATCCGTTCTGGAAAACCTCCGATATAAAATTTGTAGCACTCCAATCAAAACTTTAGTTGTCAATTAGTAGTTGGAGTCACTTGGAGAGTTTATAAAAATTGAGATTGCACTGTCATACTGTTCATGTACTACCAAAAATATACCAATATAATTACCATAATTACACATATGCAAATACCATTAGCAGCATTGTAAAGCAATGAATATTGGTGAACTATAAGTTTTAACTATATCGCCGGATGAGAACAGAAGGGGCCTAAGTCACATTTTTGCAAAATTCACTTTTTTCAATATTTTGGGGTTTTGAGCCATGCTCTACAAGATGGTGGTCTTGAAATCCTGAATTTCTCAATAATAAAAATTTTAGCTGGACTTAGGAATGCTATAATCATAGAGGTGTTGAGAACAGAACAGGCCTATGTCCAATATGCTGGACTTAGGCCCTTTCAGTCCCACATATTTACTGTCAAAATGAACATAGGCCCATTCTATGGCAAAGTTTAGAATCAAGTAGTCCCAAAGAACATGAAAAAATAAATATGATTGTCCTGATTGGCTGAAACAAATTATTCATTGTGATGAAGACAACTGATAAAGCATATTGCAGTTATACTTATGAGCATGTGCTACAGGAAACAGGTTACTAGAGGTAGCTTACCCTGGAAAGTTAGATATTAAATGGGATAAGAGCCTTGGTATATTGAATAGCAGGCTTTAAGTATAACTGCATAATAATGTAAAGATTATAAATATTAAATTGTGTGCTATTTAGTAGTCTTGTATGTATTAAATTGTGTTCTACTTAATAATCTTGTATGTTTAACTTTTCCCAAAGCTATATACAATTTATCAGTGAAGCAATGTTAGGTCCTGAATCTGAATTCCCCTGTGGCACACGAAGTTGGGATAGCACTGAGAGTCAGATTCTGCAAACAGGAAAAGAAGTTTATCTCCCTGCTACATATTTCGATAATGAACAGCGTGAATACAGTAATAGTTTACCATATAAAGATAAGACGCTGTTAAAAGGAGTGATAGTTTGCGTCTACTCCAACACTGTTCGAGTCAAATTTTTTATTGACAATCAAACAACTTCAGTTCCAAAAAATGCTTTAAAACTTGATATCGGTGATGAGGAAAAAGATTTTGTCCTTGTTGAAGCTCAAAATTCTCAAAACGAAGACCAGGAAGAAAATTTATCAGATGAATCTTTTGAATATTATAATGATGATTCAGATAAAGATCCAACTTATAATTATGAGAAGGAAAAGTCTCAGTCTATGCCATGTTATTGGACGGCTCAAAACAATGAATCTGACAGTGATAAATCAAATTCCACAGTACAGCACCAGGTTGACATTTCAGTCGTCGAAAGTGAAGAAGTAATTCTATGCTATGAAAGATATCCCATATTCAAAGCAAAGTGTAGAAGTGTTCACTGTGAGGATAGACAAGGAAGTTTTTTTATAACTAAAGTGTTCCAAACTGCGATCCATTGGCCATATTTTAACCTTGTAGAACACAAGGAAGGTACTGCCATCACATGGAATCTGTGTGACATAAATAAGCTTTGTGACCAAACAGAAAATCAGGTTAATGAACAGTGTTCAACAGACTGGATAACACCTACTCCTTTGACAGAAAGAAAAAGAAAAAGAAATATCTCCAAGTGGCAGAGAAATATTAGGAAGGAAGCTCGAATGCATGGACAGTCTTACCAATACAGAACAAAAAATAAAGAAATTAGATTGATGCCTAAAAGAGAAATAAAGAAAACATGTTCTAGTTCATGTAAAAAAAAGTGCAATGAAATATTTTCTGCCAAGGACAGAGAAGTTTTATTTGAAAATTATTGGAAATTAGATAACATATTGTCAAAAAGAATTTATATTACGAAAATGATTGAAAAATGCAAAATTAAAAGAAGCAGATTGAGACCAGATATTGAAGTCAGACGCAAAAAAAGAGATGTTAGTTTCAAATATTTTCTTCAGAAGGAAAGTGGAGATCAGTTTGAGGTTTGTCAGACATTTTTCCTCACAACTCTTGATGTTTCAAGAAAACAAGTTAGAACAGCATTATCAAAAGAATTTATTGGAAGTGTTGAAAATGATATGCGTGGTATAACTGTTTTGATGGTATAACAGATTTGATCCAAAAAAAGTGGAAAAGGTAATTGAACATATTTGTATGTTTAAGACAGTTCAAAGTCACTATGTTCGAAAGGAGTCTAAATATCAATATTTGCCTCCAACATTAGATGTGGCTACTATGCACCGTATGTACATACGATTCTGTGCAGAAAATAACATTGAGAATCCCTTGAAATACGAAGCTTACTTGTCCATTTTTCATGATAATTTTAATATAAAATTTCATCAACCCAAAAAGGATCGATGTGACATATGTGATGCATGGGACAATACAAAAGATTCATTGAGAACTACCGAAATAGTAAAATCAAAGGCAGAACATGATCAAGAAAAGAACTTGAGCAGGGTGTTCAAAGCACAAATAAAAGAAAAAGCACAAGACAATAGCCATATTCAAGCATCAGCATTTGACTTTCAAAAAACACTCCTGGCACCTGCAGGAGAGAGTTCCTCATTTTACTATAGCATGAGACTGCGAAACTACAACTTCACAGTTTCGGACATCTCGTCTTTTAAAGAAGTTCATTGTTACTTGTGGAATGAGGAAGAAGCAAAAAAGGGTTCAAATGAGGTGGCGTCTGCACTGTTGCTCTACTTGAAGTTTTTACAAAAAAAGGGTGTGAAGAGTGTGTACCTTTTTTGTGACAGATGCGCAGGACAAAATTGCAACCGCATGGTATACATCATGCTATCCCTTGCCCTTAATTGGTTTGGATTTTCAGATATAACGTTAAGCTTTTTTGTTACAGGGCATAGCCAAAACGAGAATGACTGTGCACATTCTCTTATCGAAAAAGAGTCAAAACGGCTGCATACCTTTACCACCGATCAGTGGGAATCTGTCATCGTACAAGCATTGACTAAAGGGAATAAAAATAGAAATATAACTATGACTAGAATGTCCCATAGTGATATCCTGGATTTCAAATTTGGAGAAAAACTCACCATGTTTCAAGACGTTTACAAATCAAACCTAAAAGTGAATGGATCAAAGATCAAATGGTCTAAGATCATGCAGGCCAAGTTTTCTGGTGAAAAACCTGATAAGTTTTTCTTCAAGTACCTTTATGCAGAAGAAGAATATCAGGAAGTTTCATTCATAAAAAAAGTGAGGTTGAGTCGAAGAATTTCAGGAACCCTGGATATGTTACCCAGGATGAATGAAATGAGGCGAAGCTACAAAAAAAAACCGGGAATTACAATGGAAAAATATGGTGCCTTAATGAAGCTGTGTAAAAAAAATCTCATTCCACCGCAATACCATACGTTCTACGAGAGTCTCACCATTCAAAATGATGAAACAGATGAATCAGACAGTGATGATGAATCTTCCTCTATTTAGATCGATTCACCAGTTTTAAAGACACAGGGTTTCAAACCCTTTGAATTGTTTTTTGATTTTTCATATTCAGTTTCTTTTTTATTCCTTTTTTGAAAACTTCACATTCAAAATTGGTCTAATTTTGTAGTTCGTTAGTTGTTCTGTTGTTTTGATTCAATACACAAGACAAAAACAACAACAAGGCTGCTGTGAAACTGAGGCATACTGGCATTAGCAAGCAGAGATATGTTAGGCCAACAGACCTAAGTCACAATTATAGGAATTTGTGTAGTGTATATTGGGCCTAAGTACCAATGGGTGACAGAAAGGGCCTAAGTCCGTCAATTATCACTGAGAACAGAATAGGCCAAATGTCTTTAGGGGGGTAAAAAATGAAAACGAATCGAAGTTGAAGTGCCAAAAGATGTTGATTAAAAAGCTATTATCAGGGACCTTATCCTAGCCAAAGCTCAGATCTTCACTGAGAATACATAACTAGATATTCAACTATGATAAAATTCAAAACTGTTTTTTGCGATTTTCTCAAAACTCAAAAATGTGACTTAGGCCTGTTCTGTTCTCATCCGGCGATATTGCACATTCATTTTACTTGGCTTTTTTATTTTTAAGCTGACTTGGTGCCATTCCACAACTTTTATGAAAAGATATAGAATTTCCTATCTTTGCCTCTTCAAAAATTAAAATATCATTATCTCCTGCATGCAGCCATACACCAGGAAGATATAACCGTTTTTGTGGGCCAGCAGAGTTCCAGTATCGGCCTATATTGATTCCATTTACAATTACCAGTCCCTTTTCAAAGCCTTCAAGCTCAAGAAAAGTGTCCTTTGGGGTGGGTTTTCCCAATTTGAGGGTTGTCATTAGAAGAGCAGGGACTGTGAGTTGTTGGTTCGAATCGGAATTCATCTTATGCCATAACAAAGAACCATCTCGTGATAATTGATCAAGTTTTCGGAGAAATTGTGCATCGAATTCGAGGGGCCAAATTTTCCAGTTTTCCAAAACCTAAAATAAATGAATCAATTTCAATGTGTGAGAAGCATTTTCATACCCTAATTCTGAACACATATGTATGCAAACATCGACTAATACGTAACTGGCTGCTAATTTTGAAAGAATTGGGACTATTTTCAGGACAGAATTGCCTACCCAATTTAATTCACCCTGGTACACCACCATTTCTCATAAATAATCTATCGAATATAAAGTTGATAACTACACAAATAAGAGTGATCCATTGCAACTTAGCTCTCAAGTACAGTTTTTTCTTTAAAGAAATTGCATTTAGTTGATTCAGGCCGCCCCAAAACAAAGATTTATACCATAAAATAAATCTGTGAAAAAAGTTGGAACCTTCACAATAGGCAATATCCTCATACCTCATCATTACATTTTATGTCACCAATTATTCCCTTTTTTTGTTTTTCCATAATACCGGGCATATCCCTTGAAACCCAATTGACTCTTCCTTGATTTTCCACCATAAAACTCACAGTGTGTTTTGTATCACTTTTTGATCTTATTGTTACATCATCCATCACAGGAGTAATCGTTTCTGAAATATAACATATCGATATATAGTTCTCACCGATATAATGAAGTTTTTATAAACATAATCAATCTGGTTATGGTGTTGTTCTGTGTAATTAAAGTTTGATAACTGCTAATTGCTTCGAAAAATGTGAGAAAAAAGAACGGTGCTCACATAGTATGTGTAACAAGATGGCGGACCCCTGAACATAATATGTGTACTAAGTTAGGGTTAGGCCATAATTTTATTCCAATTTTCCTTATTTTAGTTCTATTACAGTTCAGGCACTAGCCAAGTGACTCCCGTAGTATTTGTAACTGAAATTAGGGCCAAACCCTAACCTGATACACTTGCTACATTCCGGTGTTCGCCATCTTGTTGCCCATACTACGGGAGTACCAAAATAAGTTGGTGAGATCTCCGATTTGGCTTGGGAAAAATCTCTTTCAGAAGTCTTAGTCGAAACTAGCAACCCTAAATATTGCGTCTTAACAAATTGAACAATACATACATACTCCAAACATAAATAATGCTCTGCATTCATTTTACTGACCTTGATAAACATTATCCAGAAACAACAGAGCACGGTCTCTGATATTTCCAGCAATATCCAGTTTGAACTGGTATTTTCCAGTTAAAGTACATTCATAAAAAGCATATCCATAAGCTTGGCCTTCGTTCCTGTCTACTTTCATCGGAAAACTCTCCATTGAAATAGGACTTTTGGATTTGAACATCCAATTATTCATAGCTTCCAACAAGTTGTTAAGTGTAACATAGCTGTCAATTTTTATAGAAGCTGGAAGATATAAATATTTCTAAGCATGTTTGTAAGTAAAAATTGAACTGAAGAGTGAATGAATTTCAAACTTTTATCAAATATTTGGTTTTTGCCACTTTTTTGTCTACTAATTTTCTGTAACAGCTTAAAAGGTAATCTTTATGACATTAATGGATCCAATAAATACTAGCTTGCAGTTTGGTGCTCCATAATTTTTTCATCCCAGTCAGGGTCATAGCCAGGGGGTTGGGTTGAATATAAAAATCTTTTGAAATGTGAAAAAAATCATTTTTCTGTATCAAACATAGCAATTTTTCGCAGCCTGAAATGCTTTTTACACCCTCAAGAAGACTCTTGAAACCCACATTTTATGGACCTCCACATGTTGCGGTCTAACTTGCCAATTCAAAACTTCAGAAGCCCCCCTTTGAAAACTCTTGGTCTTGGCTATGCCCCTGATCTGAGCCATCAAAAGACATGTCAATCAACCAATTTAATGCTTGAACCAAATTTCGCTGAAAAGTTAAAAACAATGCAAAATGTGTTCGGCATTGAAACGAAAACCTTTACATTTTTACTTGATTTTAATTCTTTGACCATGCCTACATCAAGAAACTTAAAAAATCACCATATTCTTCAAGCTCTGGTTCTGGAGGAGGATTTATGAATTTTCTATCAGGAGAGAGATTTTGTAATAATTTTCTTGTAACATAATATTTATCTGTTACTTTTCCTTCTTCTGTCACAGGTGCATTGTAATCGTAACTTGTTATATCTGCAGACGTTATATCCCCATGCTAAATAAATAGGAAATGGTATATGACAGGACCAAAAAGAAAAAAGAGAAGGTGTGTAACTGTAATTGCCCCTTCAAATGTTATTAACTGATGTGTGCCACCAAATAATAAGCATATGGAAGACACAATTATTGCACAATAATGCATATTAATCATGAGGATGTGTCTTACATTCGCGCATTTAAATTGTTCCAAATAGCCATTTAGCAAATACTTTTGTCAGCAAATAATTTGCTCTCTCAATGAGTATAGTTTAATAATGTTCATTCACTAAAACAAGGAATTATGGTTGATATTTCCAAACTATTCAAACGGTTGCAATGGTTGCAAAATACACTGATTATTATGAATAAATTAAAAACTTACTCCTCTATCTCCAGGTTGAATCATTCCACCATTCATGAATCCAAAATTTGTTCCACCTGCACAGATTTTGAAGTCATGATTTAATATTTAAACCGATTATTCTTGTTTTTTTTCAGTCGCTCACGTTGGCAAAATCGCCTTGTAGTTGGCATGTTGGACAGTATCGAAGTTTAAAAATTTACAGTTCAAACAGCTTCTCACACACAACGCATTACATTTAACTAGCGATGCCAAACTAGAAAGATTTCGGTCCCACAATAATGTCAAGAATAGATAAACAGTGCAATACAAAACAAACTCTTTTCGTTATTTGTCATTTATCAAGCTAAAACATGCAAAAAACCCACTAAAACTTGCAAAAAAATTATTCTTATGCGAAACAACACCGCCAATGCGACGCGGGCCACAGATAATGTAGCAGCGGGCCACAAGTTTTAGTGGGTTTTTTGCTTGTTTTAGCTTGATAAATGACAAATAACGAAAAGAGTTTGTTTTGTATTTCACTGCCTACCTATTCTTGACATTATTGTGGCCCGCGAAAAATATTAAAATAATAGTGTGGCCTGCGAGGCCGACAACCTTGGACCACCCTGATCTAAATATCTTACCGTTTTAAATTCTAATGTGGTATTGGCACAAAGCCATGCATATGAAACAAATATTGATCAATTTGTAACAGGAAAAGAGGCTGTGTTTTAACATATGATCAAGTCGTCTTCACAGCTGAATAATGCAATCTGTGTGCAACATGTGGCCCGCGGGGTTTGGACCACCCTGATTTGGATAATCAGTAATATAAAATCATGTTTTATTTAGGTCCTGTATACATACCTGCAAATACATACATATTGATACTAGCTCCAGTGTTTAACAACTGTTTGGTATTATTTTCAAAAGTACTGACATCAAGGCTATTTAACCATGGCACTCCCAGATCATGATTGGGTCCGCCCCACCAATTGAACCATCCTGTCCAATACTCTGACACAAATAAAGGCCTGAAGAAATGATGATTAACAGAAAATAAATCAGTACTATACCCAAACACGCTAGTACTCATCTCTCAAAAATGTTTTACTTTTTCTATTAGAAAAATAGTGCAAAAGCAGTACATAATGTTTGGTTCATATGTCGAAAACTTGCAAATGGTCGTGCAAAGAAATGAAAGCAAGTGAGCATAGAACAGACTTCCTGGAGCTATATATACAGAAATATTGTAGTTATACAGGTGGCAGCATAGCCAATAAAATATAAGACTAAATCGTTAAAATCGATGTAATAAAGTAAACATAGTTCGATTTGTAGACATACTACAAATTTCTTAAACACTCATACACAATGCAACACGATTCGCTGAAATTACATTCTACCCTAACATAGTGGTAATATATCATGAGGAAATACTCCCTATTCATTTCCTATTTCATTTAAGATAATTAAAATCAACAAATTTGATAATAAAATTTTGCTATTTATTTCACTAAAAGAAAGTATTCCAAATTCAAATGAATAAAGGATAGGAATCAACTTCAATTTCTAGTTTTATATATTGATGCGCAACACCTCAAGTAATGAAATTCAATGCTGCAGGTGAGAATTTATCGCAAAAGCAGAGTCATGGAAATCATGACTTCATTAAAAATTTCAAACTTCATTAAAAATATTGCTTTTGACACAAATATTCCTCTAAGAGGACGAAGCTCACTCATAGTCATAGTCAATTTTATTTTTTCCATCCAATAAAAAATAACATACGAAATTGGAAAATGAATAAAATTCAACACACAATTTTACTGGGGAAGGGAAGTCGCGGGAAACCAAAACTGGTCATAGAGCGGCGACACTCAAAGATTAGATACAATTGAAAAAATCTCTCGTGTATTTGTCATAAGCAACATGGCTATTATCAGATAAAATCTACCACTATACAAAAGTATTTTTAGAAATATGCAAATTCTACAGTTATACTCACCAGTTACGTTGTACACTGCGTAATTGCCTCATAACTTCTGCAGGTTTATGTTGTAAATTGATGGATCTCATCATTCCTCCGTAATCTAACTTGTCATAATATTCAAGAACACCACTTCTATCATCACACACAAATAAAAATTCTTCAATACCTCTGAAAGAAAAAAATGAACATAATTTTCTCAATGGGGAAAGGTTCAGATTCAACAATTTAGAAAATAAAGATTTAATAAGTTACAATGTCAAAGGCTTTCATACAGACACCACACAACTAATCCTCCAACCTTGAAGAGATAGTCTAAGTTTGACTAAAATCATGCAAATACAGATAAAATTTCTACCTCTGTATAACCATATCTTTTAATTCCTTCACATACAAAGGATCATAGTTTGGGAATGCAGCATACTCATTCTCAACTTGCACTGCAATAACTGGACCACCTTGAACATAATGAGGATTAATTTAAGAAAATGGATTGAACGTCTTCATTTAGAATGAAAATGGGATATAATCTAAGCTACCGGTAAGTCAAATCTCTGCCAAACTAACTATCAATGTTGACATGATATTAAGTGCTCTAAATACAAGTTTTATGAGGCAGATGCCAATTAGTGTTCAACTTTGAAACTATCACTATGATAAGTAATTTTTGCAAATTTTATACCAGGAGTATTTGCTGAATATATATTTTAAGAACAAAAGTTTTTAAGAACTAAGATGATTGTTAAAGTGAATTTGAAATTAATAAGTAGAGTTTTCACAACACTAACAAATAATCCATTTTGCCAAAAGGTTTGATGTTACTTGTTATTCATTCCCAATTTATTGCAACAAACCACTTAACAAAAAACTCACAGTCAAACTCACTCATATATAAGTATAAACAGAACACAAGTATCATGCATTTGTATGTATACATACTTGGTATGAAAGTATATGAAACCATGACAAAGAAATTCTACATTCACTACAAATGTCCTTCCTTTGTAGCATAAAGACTGAAGTTTTACAATCTCCGACAAGAGAAGTTTCAATTCTGTAACTATTCACACATTTCTGACTAGTTGTGTACATACCATGAGTATATTGATATGGTCTTATAATAGGCAGCAGTTTATCAAAATATTTTCGAACATGATTGATGAATGTCGTTTCACTCGTTCGAATTTTAATTTCACTCCCGCGAAGCAACCAACTTGGTAATCCACCCCATTCCCATTCTGAAAAAAGTGAATACAAAATTAAAAAAATTACTATTAGCAACCAACTTGGTAATCCACCCCATTCTGAAAAAAGTGCATACAAAATTAAAAATATTTTTATTCACTTTTAGTTTCAACACATAGAATAAAATAAGAACCCAACCCTGCAACCTTGTTTCTACATGGTCGTTTTATAACTATTCTCATCCATATTACGCCCTTGTCATTAATGGCAAGCAACCCATTTCTACCAGGGGTGTGCAACCTTTATTACAGGTGGGCCAGCAGGTAGAAAGAACTGGGTGAAACCGCAGGCCGTACCTTTATTTGACATAGGCTACAATACTTTACAATCTAGTAGTTGTAGGCACAGATTGCACAAGCTAGCTGTTAAGGCATTGTGAAGATAATCGTAGGCATAGATAATAAATTGGATAAAGGTATAGGCTTCGCAACGCAAAGGGATTGGAATTACTCACACATACCAAATTAAATTGAAAACATATTTCGCGGGCCAAAAATCATACAAAATTGGCACTTTTCCGCAGGCCATACATTTTTTTTTGTGGGCCGAATTCAGCCTGCAGACCACAGGTTGCACGCCCTTACACACACACACTCATACTGTGAGTGAAAAGACAACCAAACCTGCACAAATATATGGTCCAATGCGAAGAATAACGTACAGCTCTAACTCTTCAGCAATTTCAATGAATTTTGCCAAATCTAACATGTTAGAAAAATCAAATTTTCCCTCTATTGGTTCATGAGCATTCCATGGTATATATGTGGTCACAGTGTTGAGGCCGCATGCTTTTAGTAGAAGTAACCTGTAAAAATAGATTTGCCTAATGATAAATTGCTGTTTCAGACAATGTTAACTTTATCAAGAATATAAAAAATTGGAACTTTTAAAGAATGCTTCTTTTTATTTATGATTGATATTATATTACCAAAAACAACAATGGCTCAACAGATGGCGCATCATGCTAAGTCTTAGGAATATGCCAACCACCACACCTCTGATTACCCTGAGGATTGCTGGTCCCCTGCACCAGTTGAGTACATGTATCTGAGACAAATAACCCGCCTACTATTCCATACCCGACACGAACTGGTAACGCCATAGTTCACCATATGATTAGGTTGTCTTATCCTCTTTTCTCGCCCCCAGGATAAATAGGATATATTCAATCCTATGAATAAAGTGGCGCTGTAACGTTCAGTTTGAACAGTATATAAACTGGCCATCAATTTTTATGGGTTATGTTTAAACTCATGTAGAATTAACATATTTCTAACAGAAGTACAAAATTGAAGCCAACTTTCCTAAGACTTTGAAAAAATGACGCATTTCATTCCCATCAACAAATATCTCAGGCTTCTTCAAGATTCAAAATAATATTGAGAAAAAAACCTTATTATAATTACCACAGCACAAAAAGATAATTTCAAGAGTTGGAAGCAATGACAAAATCCTCAATCACGAATTAGAATACAATGGAGCACAAATAAAAAAGAAAACAAAAAAAGATAAAGTATTTTATCACTATTCCAGAATTTTGTTCATCCAAACGAAAGAATCACGTTACTAAAAATTCTGTAAACAATAAACACAAACAGAAGTTTTAATAATCACCTGTGTCTCCAATACTGAAGAGGGAATCTGAAATAATGAATTTCGCCACCCAATATACGAAAACGTTTCCCGTCAAGATAAAACTGGCGACCTTTTGTGGTCAAACCAGATCGCCCTTCAACTTTTTTATCAATCTTTATCTTGGTTTCAGAAATTCTTCCTAGAGAAGTATATGATAAATTTTTTCACTACAACATATAATAGCAAACAATTTAACTTATTTTATTGGATACCTCAAGCAGTCAAGGTATATCACTTCAATAATACTTATCTCTTTGATTGCATACCATTTTCAACTTTCCCATCTAGTGTACATCTCATTTTAGATCAGGGGTTCTCAACCTTTTCTCTGTTAAGTACCCCCCGAGTCACAAAACAATCAATGCGAACCCCCAGTAATCAGACACCAAACTGAATTGTGATATATTGACTAACAATTTGCTGTAACGACTGCCAAGCCGTGCATTTTACATTGTTGCGTCACAATCACAACAACACAAGATCAGGGAAAATGTACTCTGAGTTTCAATTGACACTTATTTTACTCTTGTAGTTACTTTCTTTGGTAAAGGATATTAAAAAAAGAAAACTCGACTGTCATCCAAGTACCCCTGGAGATCTTCTCGTGAACCCCAGGTTGAGAACCCCTGTATAGATGGTCAATTGTTAGCATATTATAAATAAAAATAGATTACCAATGGTAATGAGAAACACTATTTTCTAATACAGAAATACTCAACTTCCAAAGTAAAAGGGCCGCATTTTAACCGCAAAAGATGCAACGGGCCACAGAATAAAATTGTCATGTATTTATAATATTTAATTTATTTATTAGTCCGATACTGATGTTTAATATGCTTCTTGTATTCATTTTTATGCATTCTAAAACATAGTTAATGGATAGCATTCTTTAGTTTGCAGTTGCAACTTCTCCCCTAGCGAGAGCTATTACATAATTTGACAACATTGGAAAAATATAATTATACTCAACAACAGCAATGTTTTACAATTCTTTCATACCATTGTAAAAGAATTTTCGAAGATAGATAAAGGGTGCGATGAGCGAGCTAAGTAACTCAATTTTTACTTAACAATACGTAATTCATCTGTTTTCTGTGATGACACAATTAGGGATGTAAGTTTCGAAAAATTTTATTTTCGAATCGATTTCCGAATCTGATTCTATTTAGTATAACATCATATTATCGTTAACTTTCCTCAATAGCATAAACTGTGATAAAATATCAATAATGAACATGAAGTGTAGTTTGTATAGTGATTGCTTCTTCTAAAATAAACTTTCAATATTCATCCAAATGATGAACACCAGCGAAACATGCGTTAGTACCGTTTGCGACATATTTTTAGAAAGCAAATGATACCGATGGAAGAAATCGCAGACCTATGTTTTAAATGAGGAATAATGTTGTTATTATAATGACATTACATAGGTAATTAATAGAAACGTTTGTATAATGTCAGATTTGTGAAACTTCTTAACATTTCGAATAGTCTAAAAACATTGTTTCCTCCAAAGCTGTGACCCATGTAAAATACTCATAGTGTTCCGACTCGAGAATGCTGTAAAGTGTAAACATAGAGGAAATAAACGCTTTTGGTCGATGATGGGATGAAATATAACAACCCCGAGTATTACGACTTGGAAACGCTTTGAACGCAAGGAGAACAAACGCTTTTGGTTAATGTTGAGACTCGTTGCCGCATCTTACAATCGCCGCATGTTATCTAAATTATCATATTTTTAAAATGGAATCAAGCCGTTTTTTCTTGAATTACTTCGAATCGATTCGAATTTAGTTTGATTAGAATCGTTTCGAAATTCTGAAACTTACATCCCTAGACAGTAGACACAATCCATAGTCTTATCATGCGCTGTAATGGATGAGAAGAATGATACCGTATAGCAAAAAATCGTTTACATTTGTTACGCCACAGATATCATGATATATGTTAGAGTTCATCAAAGATCTTTGCGGGCCACAAAATATGCATCGACAGGTAAAAAACCCTGTTCTAATATAACTATCCATAGAGGTTATGCGAGACAAACGCCCAGTCCTTCCTCAATGCCTTTGCATTAGTGGATCAGTATGTGTATAATGCAAGGATGCTGTAGCAGGAATAAACATGACCATACTATGCAATTCAGGAGTCCTGCTGCACACTAACACAATTACATTTGTGTTAGTGTGCAGGACTTTTGAAATGCATAGTATGACAATATTCTAAGTAGAGTAATGATATAAAGTGATATAAAATGACAAAATCGAAGCAATAACCATTCAGGGATAGGCCTACTGATAGAAAATTTCAAGCAATTTATGTGTAACATACCTATGTAATCATTGTTATGTTCAGACAGGTCATTTTTTGTTTTTCCGAGTTCAATTTCAGAACTGAACATTTGTCGAAGAGCAATAAGAAATAAAATGACAATGACCACAAGTCCATAACGCTGGAAAAAAAAGAATAAACAAATAGAGAATACAGGAACCACCTTGACTGCCTTGAAGAAATTTTGGGGTCTAGTATAGTTTAGTACCACAAGTAGGGCTTGCCAAAGTATAATTACGATCGCCCGAAATGGCATCTGCACCGCCGATGAGAACTTGCTAAAGCCGGCGATCTCTCTCCTATCGTGATCGTTGCGACGAGAAACGAGAGAAAGAGCTTGCTCGATTTCGGGTTATCGTCTGCGTGTTTTGGACGACCATCCGCATACTTCGGTGGGCCTTATTACGCCACTGTGACGTCGGAATGACGTAATTTTTCGATGACGTAGTCAGGTGGGGATTAGGATTGACATATGCAAAAATTGTTGAGCCAGGCCAACTAGAAGTGGATGTGGTACTAAACTATACCAGACCCAAATTTCAGAATTTTGTTTACATAGTCCAGTAGTCTAGTTTCATCTCGCATTTCTTTGTGGGCCAGTGGGGACTACATGGATTGCTGCTGGGAGCGATTGTTTCAAACAAAGCTAATATTTAACACATACAGACATCTGGACATACAGGTATGGTACTGACATACATGAAACAATAAAATGTTATACAGTACATATTGATGTTGCAATATATATGTAGCAGCAGGCAGATTGTTAATAGAACAATACTGGTACTGAACTAACAATCTGACACTGCTGAAAAAGATTCATTTCTAACCGCATCAGGATGCTGAAATGAGATTGCTTCATTTTTCCATTTGTCCTGCACCTATATCAAAATAGCAATAATCCAAAAGTATAGAGGTAGGTTAGACTAATGCACAATTGTTCCAACGCTAACTTACTTTATTGAGTATCCATATAAGCTTGGAATTGCCTCTGCGCTGCATATCGATATCGTTACCGGAGTGTGCAAGCGAACCGCCAGTCTTTCTGCAGCTTTGAGACAGATGGCTCAACTTTGACCCAACAAAAAGCGGAAATATTACCCTGAATTCACATAACGATGCCCGCTACTTTCAAGTGAAGAAGGTTTGTTTTACATTCTGACTAGTGAGAAGAAAGATGCAGTTGCTGGATAGAAATACTCGATGAAAAAGTGAACCGTGAAGATTTCAGGACTGAATTTGAAGATTTGGACATGCCGTTCCGACATGTCAGCCAAAAGTCCCGCTTTGGGATCAGCCATCCAGCATAATACACGAACATGTTCTCGTTACTAGTGTTGCTGTGTAGCGCAACGCTAGCCTACTTACTAAGGCGTTATTTTGTTTGTTTCGTTGATTCCCGCACATTGTTAGCGAACGTATCACATGTAAAATTAATTCTAATCGGTCCTGTTCAGACGTTCACGTGAATGTAACATTTAACAACGTCTTTTTGAAGGTGTTATCCACAGAAAAGCATGCGAATAAGTAAATTCTCAATGCTTGAAAACGGCAGACTATTTCATTATTCTTTATTCCCTCTGCTGTACAAAAAAAATCTAAATTTGGATCATTTGTATCGTTAGCGTATATTCCTTTCTATTTTTGAACTGAACCCTATATTTAGACAGAGAACATGCGCATGAACTTTCGGTGACAATATGGTCGATAAATACAGCCGGTACGGCTTTAAACGTAGGCCTATGTAGTCAAATCGGAAACTATAAAGTTACAGAATCACAGCTAAGAGGTCGTGTCTTTGGAGGCGTCCCACTTTAAAGTAGAAAAAATACGGTAGCCCTAGTGAACCACCCTACGGCGGCGAGGAGTCCAGCAATCCTCTTGCACATAATTACGGCAGGGGCGTGCAAAGTTCGGCCCGCGGGCCAGATGCGGCCCGCAAGAAAAAATTGGGCGGCCCGCGGAGGCAACTGGAAAGCAGTTTAAAAAAAAGGAATTAAAACATTTAAGAGCTGAATGAGTTTTGGTTCCAGCTTATCAGTTGATTTTGCCTAAATCTAACCTAGTCCCAGAATACGATTTGACAGCAAATTATTTGGAAACGAATCTTGGCGTATTTTACTGAAAACATCTCAACCAAGATAACTTTCTACATTTGAAAAAAGTCATGGCTTCAAATATGGCACTTTTCGGTAACATTTTTTTCTGAAATGGGCGTCATATCGATTCGCTAACACTTCTATTTAAGCAAATTTGCATAAAAGTAGTCGGGAAAACAATCCAGCAGTAATTTTCTCACTGAATTCGTTTAAATTGGATGTGACAATATATTTGAATTACAGATCCCTAATGATGACGTGAGATCAATAAAAAAAAGACACCATTTAGTGCCTGCAACAAATAGAAAGCCTGCGTTAAATGTAGGTGCGGCCCGCGGTTTAACCCGGGTTTTTATATTTGGCCCGCCTGCAAAAAAGGTTGCACACCCTGCCTTGCGGGATTATAACCTGCAAACCCACGCAGGGTCATCTGAGGCGATGTGACACGCGTAATCCCTCGCGCTTTGCACGATACGCCGCATCGCCGAGTTCGCGATTTTTCCACCTCGTCGTTCTTCTTGCCTGTTCATTCAACATTCAATAAAAATGAGGCACTTGATTTGTAAAATTCATTGGTCATTGAATATACTCAATCAAAAATGACATTTAATGCAGGGTCGTCCAACCCGTGGCTCGCCGACGGTTCCCGACATGCGGTATTATTCGAAGCCCGATGTCTTTCACAAATCTGAGTCACTATTGAAACCTCTAATAAAAAAAATATTTCTTGTCGTTCAAACGCGCGAGAAGCACCACCGAGCTATCGAAAGCTTTTTTAAGTCTCTTTACGAGCGGTATTGCTGGAGATAGATATTTGAAGTTATTATCGCCTGCCATGTATTTCAATCTGTTTTCCTGCGTTTTTTCCGTAAAGCTAAGGAGAGGCAGTTTTCATGATCTCAATATTTGACAGCACTTACTCGTGTACAAGCAAGTTTTTTCACGAATGAACCATGTCAAATCCCCCGTGAGATCACTAATTTTTGATAGCCACATGAAAAATTCGCTTCGCATTGCTACATCATCCATCGCACCGAATTTTGACCAACTTGTTGGATAAAAGCAGTGCCATACTTAACATTGAAATATCTATGTGTGATAAAAACTTTTGACTTCACTGTATCTTCGTATTTTCATTGTTCTTATAATTTTGGTGTGACGGCTATGTTTGTTTTTTTCATTAACCTGCAGGTGGTGTAGTGACAACTAGAACATAACTACCATGTCAAGTGGCCCGCACAATCATCTGGAAAATGCATGTGGCACTTCGACCATAAAGGTCGGACAACCCTGATCTAGTGACTCCTAAATGTCAAATATATATATAATTTTGTCATTGCATCACCATTTATCATTGGTGTTAGTGACAGGGTTGAATACAGTTGGAAATGTTTTGTGTGAACGTATTAGTATATATTTACGGTGTGAATGAATAGTATAATTTACAATATTTATACGCTCGTACAGGTATGTATGATCAATGGTCTATGACTCTATATACTCTATTACAATTTAAAAAAAATGGCAAGGGATCAATTCTTTATAAAATGGACACTTTTTACACCCAAGTGAATCAAATGCTCCATTCGTATGTTCACCGTTGTGTTTTAAATTTGTTTTCCGGCGATTGTCTGTTCTATATGCATGTGCTGTTAGCCTACACATGTGCTACGACGTATGCTTGTCCAATCATGAAGGTTCGACGTTGTGACCTACATTATCCATGAGTTCATACTGTATATAATAAGAGCTCTTGGTAATAACTGGAAAAGTCCTCATTGAGAAAGTGAAATTGAAATCATCTGACGTTTGCTTCGGTCACTAAGATTATGTATAAAACTATTAATGGTCTGCGGTTTTAAACTCAATAAGCCCAAATGTTGTTGGATAAATTTTCCCCGATTTGTTTTAAAGTTTTCTCATATATTTTGAATGGTAGGTTGGAATGGAAGTCTCAACTATTATTGCTATTTTTCTCTCGTAACGTAATATGTTTCCATATTCAAAAACAAATAAATAAATAATTAGCCTCCAGCTATGATATAATATATTCACGCCTTTCTGGACCACCCACTTATCCGGAGTAACTGCAGTAGAGAGAAACTGTCATTTAAAAAAACAAAAAAATGCATTTATATAAAAGTTAAAATAAGTATATATATTATCGTAGCAAATGTGAGAATGATGGGAAATGTCACCAATTACTGCAACTTTTCGTGATAAAGTCATATTAATGTCGCGTATATTACTTTTATTTGAAGAACCACATCACGACCGTGATCCATGCATTGTAAGGTAGGATGTCATGAAGTTCGTGATAGAATTGAGTTGTTAGGCAAAACGTATGAATTGACGTAATATTGTACCGTAATTTGGGACAGTTGCTCAAAGGGAACATGGTAATACTAATTATTTCCATTTGGAGGAATTACTTGTACTTCTAGCTGGTTAATTTGATTAATGTAAACCGCATCACCGCAGTAGATCTCATCTTCCAAAGTACATAATGAAGAAACGGTCTTAAGTTGATGGTGATTATTCTAGGGTCATTCGAGGTCTAAATCACAACTTTGATGAACAGATACCGGATAAGATGTGATCTGACAAAGTGATCGATCTATCTGATTCATCAGATTCCGTGCCGGATACAAATGATGACGTTGTAAGATTGGAATCATCAAAATTTTCGACGTTAATGTAGGCTTTTAATGGAATCAGTCTGTGAATAAGAGTCGTATGTTCAGCTGCAGAGCCAGAATATCAGTTCAGTTTTAGCTAATGAGATATTGAATGTACAATATGGATGACAATAACTTCGTTCCAATTTCGCATAAGCTAGTTACGGAATGGATAAATAGTAGGATTTGATAAAATTGTGTTTTGTTTTTACTTTCAATACATCTTTAAATGCGTAAGCTGTGTTTAAAAGCGACTCAAAACAGAGAAATTGTGTTGAATCAAATACAATTGACGGTGTGGGTGGGAGTAGTTACGTACTCTTTGCCGCGAGTTGAATCTAATAGCAATGGAAAGTGTGAGTAGGAGTAGTTATACTTGCTCTTTGTCGTTAATAACGGCTTATCCACAAGTACCTCAATTCTATTTCGCATGTAACCTTCAAGCTAAAATGAACTAACGTGAACCACATCAAAATCGGAACGTACTTCAACCTTTCGGCGCCAAGTTCTATTGAAATCGATGCACATGAGCACGGTCATATCTTCCTGACTTGACTCACAAAATGATTGTAAACATATTTGCGCGGGAATGAGGTATATATCATCCACATGTCAATAGACGAGAATATTCACACCGAAGATAATATACTCTTTGAAAAATATAGTAAACAGAGATAAATCGTCAATATTTTACATGGGAGATAAAACAGTCACAAAATTAAAAGATGATTTATAGTTAAAAATGCAGCATATCGAAGTCTGTACAGAAATGGTAATTGAGCAATTTGACTTTGAAAATTGATACTGGATGCTAGATTGAGATTGGTTAAATGAATCAGTTAATATGAAACCAAGATATTTATAATCATGATGCATTTAATTTATTATGATTATTGTACACTCATGTTATGGGTTAAAACCGGTTTGGAAAAAATTCCTTCATTGGGTAAACATAAAATTGCCGATAACATACCAAAATTGTCGTTTTACATATGGAATTATATACAGTGTATATATATATATATATATATATATTTACACTCAGAGAATATTTCGCTTATTTCTCGCGGAGATATATTCATTTCAGTGCTTTGTTAGGGCATGGGTGCAACAATGATCGCTAGTTTAGTCACTGATATTTTACGCGCAATAAATTCGAAATTTAGTCGAATATTTCAACATAATGATGAATTGTTCAAGGAATGAATTATATTTTTACTTGGTAACTTGATATTTCTATTCTCCTTACCGCATCGCGCACGTATGCACTGCAGTCATATACACCACATCGTTTCCCCGGAGCCTAGATGGATCAGGTTATCGAGTTCTTTATTTCGGTTCCATTAACTTTGGAAATAGGAAAAGTAAAAAATATGCAACTTGATGGTTTCATTACATTTGAACCCACGTAAATTTGAACCCACGACAATTGCGCATACTATTGCACCTATGGAATTTTTTTTACGGATATTTGAACCCATACTAACCCTAACCCA